TGTTGCAGTTGCTGGAAATGGGTAGAATATAGCAGTCAGTGAGACAGGTCACTAACACTGCACAGCTTTAAAGTGTGACTCAGTATTTTGATATCCGTCTCAAGAGGCAGCAGGCTGAGAGGAATCCCGAGGCCCCTCTTGTTTCTTCTATCACCGTTAATACAGAGTGAACGTCAGCTGCTAAATTGCTGTGAAATCCTTGAGCACCTATAAGCCAGCTTTTAAATTGAGGCAAAGCTTTGTAAGGATGTTCTCAGCAGGCTGTTGCTACAAGTGAGAGCGGTCATGTTAACTTCCCATTGTGCACAGCCCTGCCTTGAATGGCAGTATGCTCCCTTGAAAAGATGAAAGATAAAATAAACCTTTCCTTCCAGACATGTGTGAAATCACTGATTCCCTACTGTCATTAACATGGTGGGCATAAGATCTGTGCAGGCCAGACTCTAGGACAATCCCTGCTCAGTACATTTAGCCTCTGTTGTCCACATGAAAATCCAGTGATTTGACTGCGATTCTGAATGTCATATTTCAAGGATCCCTGACAGGTGAGGCTATTTGCAGTTGATCAGTTGGTTACTTGTGAGATATGAGCAATGTTTGGTCACTACAACATGTTTAATTCTCGGCAGGTCTGAAAAGGCTGCTTGTTTCTCACATGGGTGTAACATAAGCAGACCATTGGCAAAAGTTATACAAGAGCAGACATCTTTACAGTGCAAATATATTTAAATTTGCAAAAATGTTTTTGTTTATACTGGGGATGTTAGCTTCGTTGTCTGGGCCAGCATTTATTGACAATCCCTAAATGCACTTCTGAAGGTGGTAGTGAGCTGCCCTCTTGAACCACAGCAGTCCAAAATTCTATTCAGGGAAAGTTGAAGGATTTTGACTCAGTGGTACTGAAAGAACACTGACATATTTCCAAGTTAGGATGATATACAATCTGGAGGGGAATTTGCATCTGGTGGTGCTCCCATGTATATGCTGCTCTTGTACTTCTAAATGGAAGAGGTCATGGGTTTGGAAGGTGCTGTGTAAGGAGCCTTAGTGAATTTCTTCTGTTAGTACAACTAAAACCTTTCGTGGTTTCATCTCTTCATTCAAGTCATTACTATAGATTGTACAGAGAGTCCTCAATTTATGAATGTCCAACTTACAAATGTTCGTATTTACGAACGTGATCTCGCACATGGTTGCAATTTTAAAGACCTGACATGCGACCATTTCCTGCACTTTTAGCAGCTGTTTTACGTTATCTTGCATTGTGTTCTGACTTGTGTGCAAATCGTCTAGCAAACGGACTCCAGGATAGAAGCTGTTCACGACTAGCTTGTAAATAGATGAAGTATTAATTTGAGTCCCTCCACTAGTTACAGTTTATCCCTGTTGCTTTGTTTCCTGTTTTTCAGTCAACCCTTTAAGTACACTCATGCCAGACATTCAGTTAACTGGCCTATAGTTCCCTGTCTTCTGTCTCCTTCCATTCTTGGAATAAGACATTCCATTTGTGATTCTCATGTTAAGTAGGACCTTTCCAGAACATAAGGCTTTTATTATAGTGAATGCATCCATATTCTCTGTAGTTTCTTATGTTAAGATCCTAGAATGCTTACCATCCTGTCTAAGGGACTTGGCAGTCTTTATTCCCATAAGTTTGTCTGGTACATTTTCTCTGGTGATAATGGTTGATTGGTTTTACCTGTATCTGGCACTTCCAGCCATGCCTGTTTGACCTAAGACGGTGGCTTCTTCCTGACATCTTCAAGAAATGATACTCCCATGTGAGCCCTCAGCCTGCAGTAGGATCTCAAGGGAATATGCTGCCTTTTGATTCTTAAGAAAAAATTATAAATTTGTAAGCCAGTGCAGTCTTAGCACAGTGACATTTCATTGAAAATCCATGTGTCAATGCCATAAGGACAAACACAATGATTTGTTTCAGAATTGCTATTCTTTCCAGGATCATAACGACATCCACTTCAATACTGTCAATTTGAGTGCCAACTGTGCCTGCATTATTAATACTCAAGCATAATCTGTTGTGTGAAAACTCATCTAAGTGGGTATTTAAATTTGTTGCAATGTCCTGGGAGCCTTCTGAATTTTCCCAGCAGAATCTTTCAGCTGTCTCATATATATTGATTCCCCTCTTGCTCACAACATTGCTAAAGCAATTTGGCTGTTGCTGCCAGTTTTTCATGTGCTTTTGGTAGCTCCATTAGAAGCCTTTATGCCGTTTAGGTTCCTGTTTTCCTGAGAGTTATTGGTGAGTTGAGGTTCCCTTGCAGTTTTAGCTAGCACTATCTCCAGTTCACCAAAGGCAGCATGTATCAGGAGAGAAAGGCAGGAACTTCTGAATAATTGCAGAAGGTGTCACAGTGAGGTAACCAAGTGTCTCTTAGGACAGCATGCGATAAGTATAAAGTCAGTTAAGGCTGATTCCATGTTGTTTGGTGTCCCGAGTCTGAAATTTACACATGGCCAGCTTTGAACTCAAAGTCCTCAAATGATCATTTAGGCTGTGCGATAAATTCGGTGAACGTGTGTTTCTGAACCATTATACACAAGGAACTTCAGAAGATACAGAAACATCCATGAACAAAACGTAGGTCAGTGATGATTCTTTTTCCCAAAAGTAGAATGAGGTAATGATTGAATTTCAAATATTCACCATGGCCTGGTGAAACAGTACTTTAGTGTTGAGAGACAGACAATTGACAGGAGCACAGAACCACATATGGACAGTACCTACTGCCAAGGATGCTACAGCCTGGTGTGCTTTTTTGTGTATCTTCTGACAAAGTAATTCCAATTTTTTTTTTCTGCTGTTAATATAACTAAAACCTTTCATGTTCAAAATGGAACTGGCATTGTCGAAAATATTTGGGAAACTGCAGAAAGGTACATTGGCAAGATGAATTGAGCAAAGGACCAGTACTGCACAATGCAGTTCACAACCCCTGAAATCCTCCTTGGGGTATTGACAGCAAAAATAATGAACTCATCATGTTTTTAAAAGGTTTGAAAGCTACAGACAAAAAGTCGAAGGAAAAGGTAAATTGTAAGCACTGAAACATATAAATCTTGTGAAGTGGAGCTGTTATAATTTTTGTTTGCTAAGATTAGTGTATCAAAAACATGGTTTAAGATCTGAATTCTCATTTAATCATGCATGTATCATTGAGAAGTCTCCAGAACACTAAATCATTTATTCGTTCAGTGAACGCTGTGCCCAAAGGCAGGTCCTTGGCTCGTTGAGAACAATGATCTTGAATATTAATTTATTTTTACATTTCCTGTATGTAGCCGGTAAATTCACAACTTGCATGTTGTTAAAAAATATTCCATATTCAGCCTAATGGTTGCGACACACTTTCTGGCATTTATCAAGATGTACAATTTACTTTTTTTTAAAAGGCTTGGAAGGTTTGTTTATTCAGAAATTACCTGACAGACGAGTGTTCAACTGAACAACGTTCACAAAAAAACTTGCATCAGATATGGAAAAGATTAAAGTGTTGTGTATGGTTTCACCTTATAAAAAAGTTAAACTGGTATAATCACCTGATTCCTGCAGATTTAGTCATACTTCACCTCAGAGTGCCCTAGAAACAACAGATGTTAGACTTGATCGCTTTAAAGTCTTATTGCTTATTTAATTGTCTTTAAAATGAGTGTTTTGAATTAGATTTTTCTAAGAACTGTGCAAACAAATGAAATGTTTCAACATAACCTACTTCATAGTTTTTACCAGGAATGTGTTCCAGCATAATTATAATTCTGAACCCTTCTAAATTTTTGATGGGACTAAAGGCAATTCAAGCTGTGTAAATCGAATTTGTGTACACTTCCAAAATATTCACCTGAATGTTATACAAAGCCAAGCATTAAGAAAATGGATTTTTAAAAATCCCTTTCCAATAAACCTCAGTTTGAGAGCTATATAAACCCAATGATCTGAAAAATAATTACATATTAAATTGTAAGCAATTCTGTGTTTATTTGAATTCTGAAATACATTATTTCTTAATTTGGTAAAGTACACACTTCTTTATCTGCTAACGGCCTGCTGGGAGCTGCTTATATTAATCACCCTTGTTGAGTTAACTGACCATAAGGCTAATACTCTGAAATTATCAATACAGTTGATAATTCATTTTTACCAGTCTATGTATGAGATAATTGATATGCTTCTGGCTATTTTTTAAAATTTGCTTTGTAACTGCACAAGTCTATTTATTTTGTATGTTAATTTTAAATTAAAAATAAATTAATTGTTTTTAGCCAGTTGATTGATCATGAGCTTAATGGAGCATACTGTGAGACGGCTAGCCTGTTGTTGTAATCAGTTTCTGAGCTCACTGGCAGTACATCTTAATACTCTAAAACATAATCGATATCGCTAATAATAACAGATTAATAATGGTTACACAGTCAGAAACAAATTGGCTTATTTAAAAGTAGTTTTTGAATTGTATGGAATTCATTATTGATTTCAGTGTTTCACGACCTGTCAGATTTATTTAAAAATAAACAGGAAACATAGAAATTCACAGATATTCATAGATATTCTATTCTGATAGTTTGATTTTTGGGAATTAGTGCTGTTTTCAGGCAAGCTTGTCTCTGACCAAGGATATCAGACAATTTTTTTTTCCGGTTTGTGCTTACTGTCTGGAGGTTGTCTACCTGTCTACCTATCTGTCTGCCACGAGAATTGGAACTCATTGTAGATTAAGGCCTTTGACAGTCATTAATCTGTTTCCTCATTTGTTTAATTGTTGGAGGGGCAGTGTTGAGTGTGATTGTCTGTGTATATATATCAGATTTTGGCACTGGTGTACTTTGCATTCACTTCTGCACGTAAAATTTGTACATTTTATATTTTTCTTATAGTTCCTACAAATTTTTCTGTGGCGACAATTTTTCATGAGATAAATTATTTCCAAAGTTTATGCTGAAAGTGCTGTGTAACATTGCAGAAATCTATATAAAGTAAAATGAACTACTGCATGCAAGAAATGTGTGAGACACAAGTGGCAGTCAATAGCAACTACTACATGCAGTCACCAGATTATTACATGCATAGAGAGGACAACCAGATTTATAGTGGTTTTAATGTTCAGGCTCCTTACAGCAACAACATTTGCATGGACCAGACCTGGATTGTGAATCAGACTTCCAGTTACCCTGGAAACGAGTTTCAGAACGAGTATTGTAATATGAACACAAGTATGAACCGCTTTTTCCAGGCTGAATATTTTGATGATCATAAAGATGTTTTTTGTCAAGATCAGTCACCATCTTTCTCACCAAGGAAAGGTATAGTGGTATTGTTAGTTTTATTTTTAATCTTGTGTCTTGTCCTGCATATTTAGACCTACAGCTGAAGTAGCAGTGAATCTCCTGCTGTTTGTGTGGATTTGTCAACTGTGTGGCACCCAAGTTTGTGCTTGGGTTTTGAAACTGCTTTAATGTTAAATCTTGAAGCAGTCCAGTCGTCTGTGTATTCTGGTGCTTGGAAAAGGTGCTCAAGTTGCTAAGTAATGCTAAGGTGCCTGTAATTGATTATCATAGAGTGACTTGCTTTTCTATGTCAGGTTAACTGATTAAATTTTATTTGCGTAATTTTATTACTTTATTGACAAGAATATTACAAAATCATCAGAAGGGACTGCAAATATGGTACAACAGTATTTTGTACTGAAAAAATTGTAAAAATTAAATTCAAAAGAATCCAAGAACTGTCTGGCATGAATTACAGTAAAGAGATATTTCTGAACTGATAGCTGAGGCCTAGAATTTCTCAATATATTTGATTTAATAGTCAGTCTGAATCAATACTTACATTCATAACCACACTGAGACAATTAAGCTTGTTTTGTTGCCATTTTACGTAATTTCTATTTCAAATATGGTTGTGTCAGTCTGATCCAAGTTGATGCAGCCCTTGCTTCTGTAGTAGGGAAGGAGTTTCTTTTTATTAAACTGTGTCAAGACTCATTCAAGAATGAATGAGGTAAAAAAGAGAACAATTGTAAATCAAAAGCAATACTTCAGCGATGTAAAACTTGGGAATTGAAAAGTATTCAATGTGCCGGAATTTTAAATCTGTTAGGAGCAAAAGTCAGCATTAACTGTAATAGATTCAAAAGGGAAAAAGTTGCAATGGATATTAATGGTTAAAAGAAGGGATTGTTATATTAGGGTCTGAAGGCGTTAATACTGAGGACTGCCGTAAGTACAGTATACTGATGTCATATGAACTTGGGGCAGAAATGCCTAGGACCTCGGAGAAATCAAACCTAAAATCAAGGATCTCCTCATAGTCTCTGTAACAGTGTCTATACGATCAAGGTAACCTGTAACCAGTTGCTAACATGGAATAAAGTACTTCTTGTTAAGCAAGAGAGCTTCTAGTTAGACCAATAGGTCATTTTCCTCTACTACATCAGACCAAGTGAACCCTGTAGATCCCTAGAAAAAGGAAGATAACAGCAAATCTTCCACATACGACAGTATGTACAACAATGATCATTTAACTACCAGCCAATTTTGATTTTTGTGCCCAGTTTAGTAGTGTAAGGGAGCTTCTAAATGAGTCCTGGCTATGGAAACAGTACTTAAAAATTAAAATAGTTGTTTGGTAGTATGGAAGTTGAATGATGTTGTTAAAAGACACATTTTGCCAAAGCTTTTTTTGTCTTGTGCTGATCAGTATGATTTGCAAGAAATCCAGTTTAAAGGAAAACTGGCATTTATATTGCATAAATGTTGGTTTTTCCTCTAAAATGGTATTCCTGTGAATTGTCTTGATGAGTTCAAGACAAAAAGCTTTGATAAAATGTCTTTTTCATCAATATTTTAAGTATGGAGTGAATTTGTTTTGTGGAGATTTAAGATTTGTCATAGATAAAAGCAATATTTGGGACAAAAAAGTAGACTGAGCGTTTAGAAGACAACTTTGACAACAGAAGAGGTATGGGTGGTGAGCGATCCAAGAACTAATGGATAGTAAAAGACCAATGCTCAGCTAATTCACTTTCTACTATCCTGTAGTTGCTAACTACCGTGATATTTAAGATAGTTGACTATTAGAGCATTCAGTTTTCTATCAATTTTATTAAAATTGACAAAAGAACCAGAGATGAGATGAGAAATATGTTTCTGAATACAACACGTGTCTATAATCCGGAGTACGTTTTTTAAAAGAATCTGTTCACAAGATAATTAGATAAGGGGGAGTAGTACAAGAACATAGGGATAGGGCAGGGAAATGGAACCAATTAGTTAGCTCCTTCAAAGTATCAGCACAGCCACAGTAGAGTGAATGGCCTTCTGCTTTGATTAAGTGAATTAATGGGGAGGCGGTGGCCTGGAGGTATTATTGCTGGTTTATTAATCCAGAGAACCGGCTAATGCTCTAGGGACCCAGGTTCGAATTCTGCCACTGCAGATGGTAGAATTTGAATTCAGTACGAATCTGAAATTAAAAGTCCAATGATGAACATGAAACTGTTGTTGATTTAGGGAAGGAAACTGCTATCCTTACCTTCATACGATTCCAGATTCTGCAACAATATAGTTGATTCTTAACTTCCCTATGGGCAATAAATGCTGGCCTGGCCAGTGTTGGTCAGATCCCATGAACTAATTTAAAAAGTCTGCAGCAGACCCAGTATTCTGGAATCATAGGTTGTAATGTCCCGATTTGGGCAAAAGTCCGATTAATCATAGAATCCTGATAGTGTGGAAACAGGCCATTTGGTTAATCGAGTCCACGCCAATACACCGAAGAGCATCCGCCCCAGACGCAACCTCCTACCCTACCACTGTAACCCTGTATTTCCCATGGCCAATCCACCTAACCTGCACATCGTTGGGTTGTAGGAGGAAACCAGGGGGAAACCCACGCAGACACGGGGAAAATGTGCAAACTCCACACAGACAGTCGCCTGAGTGTAGAATTGAATCTGGGTCCCTGGCACTGTGAGGCATCAGTGCTCGCCACTGAGCCACCTTGCCAACATTCTGGCTCTGATCAGACGAAATGGGAAAAAACTACTTGCCTTATTCTGATTTCTTTGGCCCAACCTTCAACAAAGGATCCTTACAAATTCGCCAAACATAGGAATTCTTGCTGAAAGCAGAGGAAAAAGTCTTCACAGAAGCCACAACTCCTTTCTACAGCACTAGGTGAGAAACTCTGGTAAAAACTACTTTGAAAAGACACAGAGGAAAGGTAAAGGTGGTAGGTGTGTCAGGTTGTAGGGTAGCAAGTGGATGGGGTGGCACATTAGTAAGGTGGGTAGGATCGCAGATGGTTAGGATCGCAAATGGGTAGGATCGCAGATGGTTAGCTGGCAGCTGGCTGAGCTGGGTCCTGATCATTAGGTCAGTGGGGAATTTGCATTGATGTGGAACCCGAGTGATTAACCAAGATTTGATATGGTTTTAACCTGTCCAGCATTTCCCAATGTAACTACTCAAGTAGGTAGGTCTGAAAAGTTCTGTGGAGGAGAATTTCCCTTCAGAAGTACAAACTTCCTGGGTAATTCCTGCAGAATCAGCACTTGGGATTTCCAGGCACCAGGACATGGATCTTTTGTGGGGTGCTGTTGGTGGTGGAGAGCCAGATTTCACAAGCAAGTGAAAGAACCTGAGGAAGAGAGCATGAGAAGCTGCAAATCCCGACAAGCCAAAAGGATCATCTAAGCAATCCCTGTGAAAAGGGACCAATGAACTATTTCCCCAGTTTTTCTCCTCCACCCGTAACACAAGTGTGTTTTTCACGTCCATCTGTGTCTGTAACCAGTACAATTATACGTCAGCAGTTTATAGTTGTTTGTCTGGAGATGGAACCTATTTATTTGTAATAAATAGTAACTGTTGTTTAGTACTGCAACCTGGTCCATGCTTTCTGTCAACTTAGGTCCAAAAGTTGGGTAAATTGTGGAATTTTGTGAAATTTGATAAATCTTTAACTTTGTGATGACTCCAGGGATAGCAGGGCTTGATTTCCAACGCATTACCCCAGTATGGTGTGACAATTGTTAAAGTGAAAAATAAGGATGACTTATGAGCAGGAGAACCTTAGAAAAGCCAAACTATCTGTAGCACAGTGTGCATGATTTCAGAGGAATCCTGGTAATCAAGACAATAGCTTTAATAAGAGTATTGCATGATTGTCATTTGTTGAGAAGTGCAGACCACAATATCCTGTCAAAAGCACTTTCAGAAGTGCAAGACAATAACAAATGATACAACAAAATGTTCAATAAGAAAACAACAAAGGTAGAGAAAAGGCAATAATATTGCCAGTAGCACAACCAGACATAGCAATACTGGGACAAAATCAGAAGTTGCTGGAAAAGCTCAGCAGGTCTGGCAGCATCTGTGAAGAAAAAAATCAGAGTTAACGTTTTGGGTCCGGTGACCCTTCCTCAGAACCGGACCCGAAACGTTGACTCTGATTTTTTTCTTCACGGATGTTGCCAGACCTGCTGAGCTTTTCCGGCAACTTGTTTTTGTTCCTGATTTACAGCATCCGCAGTCCTTTTGGTTTTTGTATAGCAATATTGGGGGATGGGAGCATTATGGTCAGAGGAAAGCAGATCCTGAAAAATTGTTTCGTGTAAAAATCCAAGAACATGACACTTGCAGCAGTTGTTAAGAGCATGGATACATTACTGCAAGCAGCATTTGACATGTACTGCCCCTACTTTAATGGTCCACTGCCCTGCCCTCTCAATGTGTAGGTCTCACATCTCAGAAAATAACACCAAAGATAAACACGCCAGCTTCATTGAGGCCAGTGGCTGGGAAGGCATGTTTTCTACCAAGCCCTCACATCCTTATCGAATCCGAACAGTTCATCTTGTGTATTAATACAACCAGGTGAGGAGGGGTTTATTGACTCCCCTCTTTTTAACAGACTCTCAAGTTGCTGCAGCAATGATTATTTTTTAGCTCACAGCAGTCTCATTTCAATTACAGTGTAATTGACAAGATCAAAATGAAGGACCGAAATTACAAGGTTTTTTTGAGTGAAAGAAAGAGGAATTTGGTTATCTACTAACCCAAAAATAGAAACGAAACATCAAGCACTGTTAATAAGTTTATAAAGTAGAATGTGGCACAGGCAGGAAGAAGAGGCTAGTGCAACATTAAAAAAAATGTCCTTAGAGTCTTTGAGGTTTAAACAACTTTAAACCTAGTTGTTTAAGTGTTGATTCGTATTGTGTAAGATTAATGGAGTTTGTAGATGTTGAATTTTCAGTGAATGATTGTTGTCCCAAGCTGGTTTTTCACTGGGCACTAACTATAAGGTTGAGACAGACCAGGAGAAAGAGAGAGGGAGAGAGAGAATTGCAGCTTCCTGTTATCAATTCATTTTTCTTAATTTTCCCTCTGTTTTGCTGTTCAAAAGCTGTTAGCTAAAATCCAGTTGCTTTGTGGATTCCAGTAGTGGCCTTGGTGTTTTCAAGCTCAAGAATCTGTAGATGACTTTCATCCAGTATTTAATTTTCAGAAAATTTGAATCAGCTGGGAGATACAGATCGGAGTTCCAAGGTCTTTTTATAATGGTGTTAATCTTGGCTTGGATCTGATCCTTGTTTACTGATGGTTTCATGAGCTTGTCTCCATCTGGTCAGGTGTTCCAGCAGCATTTTAGAACAGTATTTGTCCTTTTAAAAAGTCACTTTAGTCCATGAAGATCTCAAGTATAAAATTAGACGATGGAAGTTCAATAACAGTAATAGATGCTACCAGTTTTCTTTATAGTAAGAATCATCAGTTATGCAAGACATGTATGGAGGGTCGGTGCATTATTAGGAAGTGTGGCAGGGAGATGATTTACTTATTCTCCATTAATAACAAAAACTTATATTTAAAAGGAATTTATATGCCTCTGAAAAATGCCTGTAGTTATATTAATCAGACAAAAGTTGGCATCAAGTCCGAGGTGGAAGTATTAGGGCAGGTGACATAAGGTTTGGTTAAATTAGTCATTTTTAGAGTAACCATAAGTCCAGAGCTTTAGTGCCTGAACAACTGTGGAACAGCCACTAATAATGGAGTGAAGGGAGTGGCAGATGAAGAAAAGGCTAGGGTAGAAGCAATACCGAGGATAGTGCTGAAGGAGATTACAATGCTGGGTCAACAAGCACAGGGGTGACAGAAAAATAAGACTTGATATGAATTAGGATGCAGGCAGTAGATCAAGTTAAACCTTTTTTATTAAACTACTGTATTTATTGTCAGCTCAGAATTAGTCTTTCGATTTACCTAGCTGTTTACTTTCATTATAAAACATGCAAAAAAAAGCATCCAAATCAGTAATCTTGTTTCCTGCTAGCCTCATTTGATGTTGTGATAGTACTAGGAACCCAACTGGAGATTCAGAAATGGAGTTATAGTAAACTGGAGCAGATGTTTGGGTAGTTTGAACAGGAAAGGGAAATTGGAAACCAGCCTGTAGTTCATACAGAAAGAGAGGCATTTTCGAGGAGGAGGTGTGATGATCATTTTGAAAAGCCTAGGGATAGGCACTTTGAGGACAAATCAAGCACCCCTAATTAATCAGCATTGGACTCAATGCCATCGACCTCAAGTTCATACAGGAGTTCTTGGTCCTCAGACAGGAGGCAGGGGTAATGCTTTCAACATTCCCTTGGATATGGAAAGAGAAAGCTATCCAGAACTACTTTCCGTGCTCTCTATCCAGTGACCTCTGCTGGAAAGATAAATGCAAACATTGAAATGTACGGCACTGAAAATTGATTCAGGCCATGTGTATCTGCCAGCTTACAAACCACAGCCCATTTTCCAGCCCTGGCTCTGTATTCCTGACGGCTACAAGGTTAAATGTGATGGGGGTTTCTGTCTTCACTATCTTTTCAAGCACTGAGTTCCAGATAACTGTCATCCTTTGGATGAAACGTTTCTCCTCAACTCTCCACCAATCCTTCCAGAAATATCTGATTTAGATAGGATTGAGTTTTTCCTTATTGCTTGGCGGCTGTCTGTGACCAGGCTCATTCATCAGTAATGATCAATTGAGCAAGTGCTAAAGCATGACAGCCTCTCTTAGAATTGTACTCTGCAAAAGAGAGTTGTGGGTGGGAGATCTACCCTTTTGTTTAAAACCAGAAATCCTATCTGATGCCCTGATAAGAGAGAAATCATGAGGAGAGGAACAGATAAGCTATCATAATGATGTTTTTCATTCCACTCTTCATGAGGCTAATCTGTATAGATCTGAAGTGATTAGCAGACCCAGGGCCAGCATAACATTTGTGATTAAACAAGTAAGCATTGTTTGATTCCCTTTTAACCTGAGATTGACAGCATAATTTCAAATACATAAAAAATGCAAATGATGAAATCTGGAACAAAAACAGTGCTGCTGAAACATGCGTCACACCAGTTAACATTTATGAGGACAAGTTGATATTTGTGATGAAGGTTTTCCAGTGGAAATATTAACTTGTCTTTTTCCAGATGCTCATAAATCTGAGTGTTTTCTGTTTGTAACAGTATATAGTCCAACTAAAGGCTGCAGTGCGTGGCATGTCTTCACCGCAAGGAACCAGGTTGAAATTGTATGAACTTATTTTACAGCAGCTTTTGCAGCTAATAAGGGAGATCTTCTCTGTTTATCATAGAATCCCTACAATGTGGAAGCAGGCCATTCGGCCTTTTCAAGTCCACACCGACCCTCCAAACAGCATCCTACCCAGACCCACCCCCTATACTATCCCTGTAACCCTGCGTTTTCCAAGACTAATCCACACTGTGGTTAATTTAGTGTGGCCAATCTACCTAACCTGCACATCTTTGGACTTTGGGAGGAAACCCACGCAGACTCGGCAAGAATGTGCAAACTCCACACTGACAGTTGCCTGATGTTGGAATCGAGCCCGGGTCCCTGGTGCTGTGAGGCAGCAGTACTAACGCTGAACCACCGTGCCCTATGGATTAGTAGTTGTTAATTTCTGGAATGGTGCTGCTATTGGCGCAGACTTACAAACTCTTCATTTAACAGGTTTGCCCCACAGTTTCAGCTGAACTACAGGTTTGTAAAAATTGTACACCTTGTAACTTTTCTGACAGGCGTTCTCATTGGGCTTTATCAGTCATCTTATATATTGCAGTGAGGCTTCTGTAACACTGAGCTATTTCTGTTTGTGTTGCTTTTCAGGTTATATACCAAGCTATCTGGATAAAGATGAACTTTGTGTTGTGTGTGGTGACAAAGCCACAGGCTATCACTATCGCTGTATCACTTGTGAAGGGTGTAAGGTAAGCAACTTTCGGTCACGTTATGCTTCACAAACAATGGTCCGCAGTGAAGTCCAGGCTGTTCCTACGTTGTATGTACAATATAAAACAGAAAATGGAAGGGCATAGTTTTCCATTGCATAGTCTCCCCTGACTGCCATTCCTCCATTCCCTCTTTTTCTTCAGACAAGACAAATGTGACAGATTTCCTGGAGGGGAATCATTATCACAAACAGAAGCCAAATCAAAGTATTGCAATGCCAGAGTTGTTGTTTGAGAGTTCATACTACCATGATTGGCCAAAAACATGCTTGTTTAAAATTCTTGCACTAAAAGACTAAGAATGCATCTTTCATAACCATTAACATTTGTTGTCCCTTCTTCTAAATTATTTCCAGATCCACTGTAGCCCAGAGCAGCTCTGAGCATATGTATTCTGTATCATGTTGTTAAACTATTACACAGCTAGCATACTAAATGATCAATGGCTCAGATATTTGCTATACTGACACAGATAAGGTTCTCAGCCAGATTTTATCAGATAAAACTGACAACCCAATTCTGGCGTTTGCATATGCATGGAAAGAGGAGAGATATTTTACTAAGATCACAGTCATATAGAACTTCATTTATGATTTTAATGAGTTGACTATGAGTAAAAGCACTGTTCTCCTGCCTTTGTGGGACACAAACCTAATTAGAGAGATTCAATTATGGAGTTTCAGGAAAGTTGGGAACACATTTAGGAGATGACAACACATTTGAGGACTTTGGAGATGAAAAGAAGTTAGAGATGAATGAAAGTCTGGAGCACAGAGTGAATGTGGAAGAATGCTTTGTTCACTGTATACGAAAGCTGGGAAATTGATGCAGATGGGAAAATAGGTGCTGCTTCTTTATTTTTATCTCCAGTAGTTAGTGAAGTTTGTTAATTTGTCTCTAGGCTAACACACTGTGACATGGCATCATGAGTATCTTAAAGCAGATAAGTCACTTAGTCATCAAAAAAAAAGCAATTGATTCAATTAAAGATGAATAAACTAATCAAATAAATAAATCACATTGGATAGACATTGCTGGTATGAATTAGTGAAGAGTTTTGCGATTCCAGACAACCATATATGCAATCAGTGTCTGCAGCTCATGTGGCACAAGAAATAGGAGCAATAGTAACTGTGTGGCCCTTCAGGCCTGCTTCGTCATTCAGTATGATCATGGTTAATTTACAGTCTCAAATCCATTTTGCATCAAATCTGCAGATCCCTATCATAAACCTGTGCCCCCATGTGCTGCATTCCTCACTAAGGGAAAAACATCTGTGTCTGTCCTGTTAAGCCATTCAGTTTTTTTTTATTAATTTGTGGGATGTGGGCATCACTGGCTGGGCCCAGCATTTCTTGCCCATCTCTCATTGCCCTTGAGAAGTGGTGGGAGCTGCCTTCTTGAATCGTTGCAGACCATGTGCTCTAGGTTGACCCACATTGCCATTAGGGAAGAAATTCCAGGATTCTGGCCCAGAGACAGTGAAGAAACAGCGATATATCTCCAAGTCAAGATGGTGGTGGCTTGGAGGGGTTCTTGCAGGTGGTGATGTTCCCTTGTATCTGCTTCCCTTGTCCTTGTAGATGGAAGATGTCATGAGTTTGGAAGGAGCCATCTGAGGATTTTTGGTGAATTTCTGCAGTGCATAGTGTAGATTGAACACACTCATATTATTTAGCATCGATGATGGAAGGAGTGGATGTTTGTAGATGTGGTGCCAATCAAGCAGGCTGCTTTGTCCTGAATGGTGTCAAGCTCCCTGAGTGTTATTAGAGCTGCACTCATCCAGGCAAGTGAGGAGTATTCCATCACACTCCTAATTTGTGCTTTGTAGATGGTGAACAGGCTTTGGGGAATCAGGTGGTGAGTTACTCACTGCGGTATTCCTAGCCTCTGAGCTGTGCTTGTAGCCACTGTGTTTATGTAGTGAGTCCAGTTGAGCTTCTGGTCAATGGTAACCTCAAGCATGTTGATGGGGGATTCAGTGACAGTAACACCATTGAATGTCAAGGCGTGGTAGTTAGATTGTCTCTTATTGGAGATGGTCATTGCCTGGTATTTATGTTGTGCGAATGTTACTTGCAACTTGTCAGCCCAAGTGTGGATATTGTACAGATCTTGTTGCATTTGAACATGGAGTGCTTCAGTATCTGCAGTTGTGAATGATGCTGAACATTGTGCAATCATCAGCAAACATCCCCACTTCTGACCTTATGATAGAGGGAAGGTCATTGATGAAGCAGCTGAAGCTGGTTGGGCCTGTGGAGATGTCCTGGAGCTGAGATGACTGACCTCCAACAACCACAACAATTTTCCTATGTTCTAGGTATGACTACAACCAGCGGCGATTTTGCTCCCTGATTCCCATTGATGCTAATTTTGCTAGGGCTCCTTGATGCTGCGCTCAATTGAATGCAAGCTTGATGTCAAGGGTTGTCAATCTCACCTCACCTCACCTCTGGAATTCAGCTCTTTTGTCCATGACTGAACCAAGGCTGCAATGAGGTCAGGAACTTTGTGGCCCTGTGAGAACCCAAACGTGGCATCGCTGAGCAGCTGAAGCTTGATAGCACTGTTGAATACACCATCCATCACTTTACTGATGAATGAGAGTACATTGATGGGGCAGTAATTGGCCTGATTGGATTTCCCCTGCTTTTTGGGTCCAGGACATAACTGAGCAATTTTCCACATTCAACACTGGCATCTGCCTGACAAACTATTCTGGAACAGTTTGGCTAGGGGAACGGCAAGTTCTGGAGCACAAGTACTAATGCTGGAATGTTGTCAGGACCCATAGACTTGTATTTCTTGCCTGTTTCAATGAGATCACCTCCTGTTTTTTTCTGAACTCCAGATTGTACAGACCCAATTTATTCAGCCCCTCATCCAGCGACAACCCCATCACCGTAGGAGCAATTCTAGGTGAACCTTCGCTGTAATGCCTCCAGTGCAATTATATCATCACTAAAAAATGAACACACTACTCCAGGTGTGGTTTCACCAAAGCCTATACATTTGCAGCAAGACTTTGTTATTCTTCTACTCCAATCCCCATCCAATAAAGGCCAATGTACCATTTGCATTCCTAATTGCTTGTTGTACCTTCAAGCTAACCCTGTGTTCCTTATACAAGTCCCTTTGAACATGAGTATTTGGAATTTTTTTATTAGAAAACATACAGTAAGCCCTCACTTAAAGATATGGTTGTGTTCTTGGAAAATGCAACTTTAAGTGAAACAACTTTTAAATGAATCAGGTGTTCCCAAAGAAATCAGTGCTAAAGCCAGAGTTCGGTTCCTTTGGACATTTCCCACCTTGAATCAAACATTTCAAATAGTGCACATATGTCGCACTTGCTCGCTGAAATAACTTAAAAGATCCACTGCATCACCAAATTTAAAAGAAGTACAATATGGGTGTGCAATTAAAAATGCACTTGCCATCAGGACTTTGAGATTGACCAGGCTCCATCTAGTGGCAAGAGTTAGATAGTGCAGCTATCAGCTGGAGACTAATTTCTGAGACTAGATGGAGCCCAGGACTTGTAAGCTCAGAAATGGATGAAGCCAGAAGAAAACCTAAAGACCTATGGTAACAATGAAGCATGGTGGATGGGGCACAAAAGAGTGGCAGGTCCCAAAGAAGAACAAGGGCAGGAGCAGAGTCACAGGAGGGGTCAGGTAGCCAAGGACAGGAGACAGGATGGAAAGCAAGGCTGAGAGCAGAGGCAGTACCTGGGGAGGGAAGAGGGACTGAGGGCAAAAGTGGAAAAGCCGGGAGAAAGGTCATTTGAACAGGTCACGTACTGAAGGTTTGCATGCAACACTAAAGTAAATCAAGCAACATCCAGCGATTGTCCTGAACTATTTTATTAAGACCATGAGGAATAGGAATAGAATTAGGCCATTCGACTAATTGAGTCTGCTCCACCATTCGATCACGGCTGATATGTTTCTCAACCCCATTCTCCTGCCTGCCCCCAAAACCCTTGATCTCCACACTAATTAAGAACCTATCTATCCCTGGCTTTAATACACTCAATGACATGGCCTCCACAGCCTTCTGCAGCAATGAATTCCACAGATTAACCACCCTCTGGCTGAAGAGATTCCTCTTCATCTCAGCTGTAAAGGGTTGTGCCTTCACTCTGAGCCTGTGCCCTCAAGGCCTAGTTTTTCCTAGTAGTGGAAACATCCTTTCCACATCCACTCTATCCAGGCCCTTCAGTATTCTGTAAGTTTCAATCAGATCCCCCTCACCTTCCAAACTTCATAGAGTACAGACCCAGAGTCCTCAACCGCTCCTCCTATGATAAGCCCTTCATCCCTGAGATTGTTCTTGTAAACCTCATCTGGACCCCCTCCTGTGCCAGCACATCATTCATTAGATAAGGGGCCTAAACTGCTCACAGTATTACAAATGTGGTCTGACTAGAGCTTTGTACAACCTCAGCAGTACGTTTCTGCCCTTGTATTCTAGTCCTGTTGAAAAGAATGCTAACAAAGCATTTTCCTTCCTAACTACCAACTGATCTCTATGTTAACCTTAAGAGAATCCTGAACTAGGATTCCCAAGTCCCTTTGTGCTTCAGATTTCTGAAGCCTTTTCTGGTTTAGAAAATAGTCTATGCCTCTATTCTTCCTGCCAAAGTGCAGAACCTCACAATTTCCCTCATTGCCAATCCTTTGCCTACACTCCTAGCCTATCCAAGTCCTTCTGCAGCCTCCCAGCTTCTTCAGCACTACCTGTCCCTCCACCTACCTTTGTGTTGTCTGCAAACTTAGCAACAATGCCCTCAGTTCTTTCATCCAGATCATTACTGTATAGTGTGAATAGTTGTGATCCTAACACTAACCCCTACAGAATCCACTAGTCACCAACTGCCATCCTGAAAAAGATCCCTTTATCTACATACTCTGCCTTCTGCCAGTCAGGCAGCCCTCTATCCATGCCAGTACCTTGCCCCAAACACCATGGGTTCTTATCTTATTCAGCAGCCTCCTGTGTGGCACCTTTTCAAAGGCCTTCTGAAAATCCAAATAGATCACGTCCACTGGCTCTCCTTTGTCAAACTTGGTTGTTACCTCCTCAAAGAATTCTAACAGATTTGTCAGGCATGACCTCCTTTTGATGATGCCGCCGTATTGCACCATGCATTTCCAAGTTCTCTGCAATCTCATCCTTAACCAATGAATTTATGGTTTACCTGTGATGTCACATTTTTGCGTTGGGCCCCTGATCTTGGCTTCAATGTATTTTGTCTAGAAAAAAAAGACCTTACAAACTGTGAGTCAAAAAAAAGCAAGAAAAAGATCCTCTTCCCTTCCCTGATCCATATACTCACTCGGGTTGTGTCTCAATCTGGATGTGTTCTCTCCTTTCTGACTGTATGAAGCTTCCCATTGTGTGCTTTCAACAGGCCCTCTCTAAAATAGAGCTGAGGTGGACTGAGATGCTTTCAAAACATGCAGCTATCCTCCGGCAATCCTTGATTTTAAACTGTTCTTTTGTCATTTCAGTCCACAATTAAACATATGGAAAAATAAAAAGACATGGTCTTTATAGTTCTGTATTTACTGATGTTACTGTTTATTATACACACACAATTGATTGTGTACATTACAATTGTAGTTATGACTACAATCATTGGAGTCAGTGATTGACTACACTTAACTCCATTACAGAGTGACTGAAAGTGAACCATGTATCTTTATTAACAGAATGTCACAAGACAGGATGTCATGTAAATGTTTTAAGGTACGTGCCTTCCTGGCTTGGAATCTATGCTACCATGCAACAGAGTGAATCAAATTTGCTTAAAACATATCTGTGATGCTGGGGACCTCAGGATATGGCTAAGACAAATAGTCCATTCAGTGCTTCTGGCTGAAGATGGATTAAATGCTTAAGTTTTACCTTTTCAACTGATATGCTTGGACTATCCCATTGCTTAGGATGAAACTATTTGTGGAGCCTCTGCCTCCTGTTATAATCCTTTGTTCTTTCTTCACCAGTTTGGCATATCAATTGTGGGTATGCCTGGTCCTTACTTCCGGCATGCCCTCCTGTGCTCTTTATTGAACCAGGGTTAGCTGGATAGTAATGGTAGAGTGGCTAGGCCTAAAGGTTACAGATTGCTAAAACAATTCTGCTGCTGCTGTTGCCCCACGGCACCTAATGAAGATCCTGTTTTGAGCTCTTGCTTAGAAAATATAGCCTGATGTGAGGACATGAACCCAGGCCTCCTAGTTCAGAGGTAAGGACATTACCACTATGCCACAAATGCCCACCATGAAGTAATGTAAAGATTATTGGACAATCTTTTCAAGGTGGGTATCGTAAACACTAATTGGTGACCTGGTGCATCTGGTTTCATAGCACCATCACTAAGGCACTTGTCAATTGAAAGCCTAGGGAAGCAGGAAATCTCAGTACTGATGCTGGGCTTGCGAGAGGTGAGCAGAAGATCCATCCTCGATAACACCCATAGTCCTCTTGGTGTTGTGACTTCTTGGCTTAATTTGTAGTCTTTTAAATACATTCCAATAGATTTGTAACAGTACTGGACTGGAAAGATTGTGGGATACTACCCACTGTCTATTTTCAAGCTATAACGCCACAAAATATTTTGACAACTAAAGGAAAGGTACCTTCTAAATCCTTTTCTCTTCAGGGCTTTTTCAGGAGAACCATACAGAAAAACCTTCAGCCAGCATACAGTTGTAAATATGAAGGAAAATGCATCATCGACAAAGTAACAAGAAATCAATGTCAGGAATGCCGGTTCAAAAAGTGCATTGCTGTTGGCATGGCAACTGACTGTAAGCAACTTTAATATTGACGTTTTAGCTATTTTCTGCTTTTGACTTTTAGAAATAGCTTCTTTCAGTTCCCTTTCCCCTAATATCATTGCTGTACACCATTCTACAGATGTTTACAGATCAGTTACAACTAAAGAGCATAATCCTTAAAATTCGCTTCCAAACCATAAATGCAGAGAATATTTGAAATGCTGAGGAGGTAAAAATTGCATTTTGAACAGAAAGATTGGCAAATATTTCAGTTGATGAAGGGGTTCAGCTTCTGTTCTCTTCTATTTCAGATATCCACCATTTTTTTTAAACTGTAAAAGCTTGGTAGTTTATGCCCTTCGAAGAACTGTTTCCAAAAATTTCTGAACTCACGCCAGTCAAGGCTGGGGTATCCAGTTAAACTGGCATCAGTGGTATCATTGTAATAATGTTTATGCAGCAACACTAGGGAGAATAATGTTCATAAAATGTAAAAATGAAACATGGTAATTTTATTGCTTTGTTTATTTGTGTAATTAGTGGTGTTGGATGATGGCAAACGTTTAGCAAAACGCAAACTAATAGAAGAAAACAGAGAAAAGAGACGTCGAGAGGAACTGACAAAGGCACTTATAAACAAACCTGAGCCGACAGATGAGGAATGGGAACTTATCAGAACAGTGACGGAAGCCCACATGGGCACTAATGCTCAAGGAAATCATTGGAAACAGAAGCGAAAATTCCTGGCAAGTTGCTCAGCAGCTGATGAAAAATTAGACAGAATGTATTAATTCCCAGTATTTCATGAAATAAGCAGTGTTCCTTGCTCTTTTATATTTTGAGAATGTTTTGGTTATCAACCTTCATTCCAAATGTTTTGAGAGAAAAAAACAATTTCCACAGATAAATAGAGAATCTGTAAGAATCTGGAAACATTCTTCACTACTAAGACAATTAAAACAGTTAATGTGAAAATGAGTGTTAATGTATTTTTTGCATTCACGTAGTCCCGACTCATGTAATTGTGATATCCACTTTGAGATGGGGAAGTTGAAACTGCAAGTTGTAGACCATTATAGTAGGAAATCACAAGCAATGATGGTTTATTATTACCAAAGCAGAGAAAAGACCACATAACATTATACAAGGAGACTTGTCAGAACTATAACACATCAATTGACATCTTGGGCTGAATAGTCAGTCTCCCCTTCAACTTTGTAATTATTTATCAAACTCATTTTAACAACTGCCTACCAGTGCAGTGCCTTCTCAGTTAACACTGTAGTTGTGTCCTGATGAGTGTAACTTTAAGTGAAGCAACTTCAAGCAATTACAACCATTGTAATAGCTATGATTAAATTCTGAAGAAACTTCTCTCTTAAAAACCTTATAGCCTGTAAGTTTAATCCTGTACATTCTTAAATTTATGCATTCATAAATGGAATATTTTTCTAAAATAAGATCAATTTTAAAATCTAAATGAAACTTGTTAAAAGAAATATGGGGAGGTAATGACCTAGTGGGTATAATAGTGCTGGACTGTTAATCCAGAGACTCTAGTTCTGGGAACCTGGGTTGTAATCCCACCATAGCAGCTGGTGGAATTTGAATTCAAATTCCAATGAAAATCTGGAATTAAGAGTCTCATGATGACCATGAAACCATTGTCGATTGTTGGAAAAACCCATCTGGTTCACTAATGTCCTTTAGGGAAGGAAACTGCCATCCTTACCTGGTCTGGCCTACATGTGACTCCAGAAATGTGAATGACTCTTAACTGCCCTCTGGGATGAACAATAAATGGTTCCTGGCCAGTGACACTCTTATCCCGTACATGAATAAAAACAAACTCTCTCTACTTTCCTTCCATTTCATCAACTCTCTCTTTACTCCCTGGTTTCTCCTACTAATTACTTCCCTCCTGTTTGCCACCACCTTGCATTCACCCCTTTTCTGTATCAAATGTTTGAGTGAGAGAAGGCTCAGAAGATAGAGTGCAAGTGAAGGGAGTGGCTGGAGCCGAAAGTGGGAGGGCCATGGTGGGGAGTGGCTGTAGTGAGCTGGAGAGTTGGGGAGTGTGAGAGAGTCAATGAACAGGAGTGACACTTCCAAAATGATGCCTGTCAAGACACATGACACTATATTGATTCTTGTGAGAAATGGCACTATTACAGAAATCCCAATGCCAAGTACACTCAGCAGTCTCATTATAGTCTTAATGTAAACCAATTCCGTATGAGGCACTTTAAATTGGAGATTTACTGCACTTCTAAACAGATGGCTGAGCAGACAGAATATGCCAACACACTTTAACTGATCTCATACAAAATATTGTTCCTGTGTTGCAAATTTTGCCAGAGTCATAGTGAACAAATTACTGGGATAGAATTCTTTTGGATCATTTTTGGAAATCATAAATTCTAAATTCCTGACAAACTGGTCATTAATTCAGAATCATATAACCCTGTATATGAACTCAGTATCGTACTCAGCGTTTTTTAAAGCAATATATAGGTTTATCCATATTCAATGGGGGGCAGTTACCTGAACAATCATTCAAACTACTTGTCATCCCTTCCCTTTTCCTTTTCATTGTCACAATGACTCCCTTCGTTGCTCTCAATACAGGCACACACGCCTCTCCAACTCCTGTCACCACTGCTCCACACTGTTGTTACGAGAAGTTCCCCTTTGTTTCGCCGTTTCTGGGAATTTTCCCATTCTTTAATATTTTTTGACCATAACTCCTGATTTTGTTGCTTTACTCAAGGATTTGATTTGACACTGCAGACAAAGCATTAATTTATTTACAGACCCACATCTGTATTTCCCACGTGCAGCACGGAATCTGGTCCTGACAGAACGCAGCAGTTTTGGTTACAGCTGCAGCTGAGAAGGATCTTATCAGTGGAAGAATCACAACTGACATTTTTTGGCCAGAGCTTGGCTTGTAGGCTCATAAAACGAAGAATGTACAGATTTAAATGCATCTGACAACCACAATGGATGAGGTTCATCCATTTAAAAGAGACTGGCTTAATAGGCCAAATAGACTTTCTCTTTTCCCCAAAGAACCCAATGTTTTAGCCCAAAGCTATATGAATAAATTGCACCCAGGATCCCTGGAATCAGATCCCTGGCAAGTTAGCTTCCTATGAAAGAAGCATGGGATGAAGCTGATGTTTGACAATGTAGTTGATGGTGAACTGATCATGTGACAAGAGTAATGTTAAATACATTGATCAGTATTACTACTTGTTGCCTTAATAATAGAACAGCATAGCAATATTGAGAAGTGGAACAGCAGAAATCCTTTCATGAAGCAATTACATTTATTGTTTTGTTCAATCTCTAGCCTGAAGATATTGGGCAAGCACCAATAGTGAATACAGCTGAAGGGAGCAAGGTAGACCTGGAAGCGTTCAGTGAGTTTACAAAAATTATCACACCCGCAATTACAAGGGTAGTGGATTTTGCCAAAAAGCTACCTATGTTTTGTGAGGTAGGATTTTTGTTTCCTTATTTATGATACCTTTGTTAATGGACTATTTGAATCTCACTTCTCCATCGTTACGCAGCTGAGAGGGAGTGCACTCGCCTGGTTGCACTGCTATCTATCTAACTATAGACACAGATTCCCCTCGGCTGGTACCTCTTCCCATCTCTGGTGTTCCACAGTATTGATTCACAACTTCTGATTTTTCATCTATTCTGCTCCTTAGCAACATTGTCCAAAAGCATGGCAACTTCCAAATGAACACTACAGTATTAGCCCATCAACACCTCTTCACCCTCTTCACTATTGTCTGATATTCAGTACTGGAGAAGTGAAAATTCCCTCCAATCAATTAGTTGGGAAGACCTAACCCACTGTCTTCGATCCCCATCACAAACCAAACTGTCACAAAGTTGATGTTGCATGTAATTCTGAAATGAGAAATTAATGATGTAGCTGCACGATCAGTAAGACCAGTCATACTCAAATCCATATTGCCTGACTCCACACTGTCTCAGCTCACCAGTTGCTGAAACCCTTCTCCATGTCCTTGTTGCCTCAGGATCTGATTGTTTCAATGTATTCATGGGTGGCCTTCCAAATTCTAGCATTGACGTAATCTTGACATAATTCAAAACTCTGTGATCCCATGTCCTAACTTGCATCAAGTTCTGTTCCACCCACACCTTTGCGCTCATTAACCCACACTGGTTCCTGGTTAAGGAACTCCTTAGTGTTAAACTTCACACCCCTGTGTCTAAACTCTCCCATTGCCTTGCCTCTATCTATCTGTAATCTCCACCAGCTTCCATTTCCTCCAAGATAGCCGCACTCCAGTATTCCTGGTCTTTAGCATCCCCTGGTTTTAATCATATCACTATTAGTATGTGTGGTTTCAGTTGCTGATGCCTTAAACTTTGGAATTCCCTCCCGAATCCGCTGAACCTCAATATTGCTTTTCTCCTTTAAGTAACCATCTAAGCCTACATTCTTGACCAGACTTTTGTTCAACAGTCTAGAGTTTCCAGACACCAGTTTTATACTGAGATACCTGATTTTGTTATGTCTGGTCCCATTCCAGTGCAGCGTGTCCATGTCTGATATTTTGAAACACACTCTGTTTATAGTGCCGCAGGTCCATCCAGGAGAAGAACCGTTCCTTTGTGGACATTCACTGATAATCTTAATCCAGATTATTCAAAAATGAATTGTATCAAAATAAACCAGTTAGAGCTTGGGCAGTTCTAAATGATGACCCTTTCAGTCTCATTTGTTCAAATGTTGGCCATGATGTTCTCCAGATCAGTAGGGATGCAGCCAAGGTAGGTCAAAGTGGTCATCTTTTCAGGCTGAGTATTTTGACTCCTTCAGCCTTTTGACCATGTTGAATTCACTATTCCTCACAGAATCTGTTTGGAGAGAGAGAACAGCAATGGCCAGCAGGGCTGCAACCACCATCTACAAGATTAAAGTTTGAGCTGTACTGGTTGTAGATTGAATCTTGAGCAAAAGTAGAGTAAAGGGAAATCTGAACTCTAAGCTGGATGGAGTCATACCTGGCACAGAGGAAGGTAGTTGTGGTTGTTGGAGGTCAGCCATCTCTGCTCCAGGATATCTCTGCAGGACCTCCTCAGGGCAGATATTTTCTAATCAATCTGTTCAGAGATGTGATTACACATTTCTGGAACAGATGAGACTTGAACCTAGACCTACCTGGTTCAGAGCTAGAGACACTACCACTGTGCTGCAAGAGACCTTAGTTCCTCAGTATTGTTTCCTAGGTCCAACCATTTTCTGCTGCATCATCAATGACCTTCATCAATTCAATTACTATTCACAACTCTTCAGATAACGAAGCCTCCTGTTTAATTTTCCACCACAATTCACCCCTGGATGTAACAGGACTTGGATCACTTTGCCCTGTCTATTGTATGCTGCTTCCAGTCTGGTATGCAAAAGTCCCTGTGTTGTAGTTCCACCAGATTGACACCACATTTTACAGTGTGTTTGGTACTGCTCCTTACATGCTTTCCTCATTTTCATTGAATCTTTCAATACAAATCCTGAGTGTGTTTCCCTTGGAATTGCTTGGTGAATGATTAATTCTGCGAGTTTTATGCTTTTCTTCCATTTATTTTGTAAGTTTTAAAAACATTATTAATTAAATGCAGAATGCAAACTGCCATCAGTTTTCAAATACAACCAATGTTTTACGTTGTAAACTAATTGCTCCTCTTTATTTCGTAGTTGCCGTGTGAAGACCAGATAGTCCTTCTGAAAGGCTGCTGTATGGAAATCATGTCCCTGAGGGCAGCTGTTCGCTATGATCCTGAAAGTGAGACTTTAACTTTGAATGGAGAGATAGCTGTCAAAAGAGAACAGTTAAAAAATGGAGGCCTTGGTGTCGTATCAGATGCAATTTTTGATCTGGGAATATCTTTGTCTGCATTCAACTTGGATGACAGTGAAGTAGCTCTGCTCCAGGCTGTGCTTTTGATGTCTTCAGGTATAATGACATTTTCGACTGTATTATATGAAGTACAATTTTTCCAAATGGATTTGACCCTTCAGAATCCTCTGCAGTAATTCAACCTTGACGTAGGTGTTCCTGCAGAAACTGTGTCAGTCACTGAATGCTTAGAGTTGGAGACTTTAATCTTTTGCTTAGTTTCTTAACTGAACAAAAATAGCAAACTAAATAGTAGTGCAGATATAGTTTCTCTCCACCAACCTGGTACAGGCGGGTTCCAATTCAATAAAAGATGCCAAGATAATCTGCCTAAACATTGGATTGTCATGTACAATTTCAGAGTTTAATTTCATAAAGCTGGCCAAGCTGCTGCTGTCAGTGGTCTGACCTTCAGCGTGGTGTGACATTTTTAATCATTCACATTTGCCATTTTCCAGTTAATTTATAATAATGTGACAACGAAAGCAATTTGATACTTGTGTTACAGAGAATTGTGTTCCACAAAATCGTTATTAATATTCAGCTATAAAAGAAATTCAACTTTGTGTAAAATTGTAAAACACTAGAAGTACACAAAAGATTGGTTCAAATTTTGGAATGATGAGGGGGAGGAATAGACGAGTTCTTTTTGCTGGCACTGTCCTTGCAAACTGAAAAACAATCAAATGTTTTATCGAAATATGTAAAACATGATGGGCAAAGAAAATAATAGATGTTCCAAGCACAAATAGGAGATTCGATCAATTGTTGCGCAATGTCTGATCTGTAAACTGTTTAAATGAAACACAATGTAAAGGAGCACTTCAGTCAATCAGTAAAGAAAACAGAGCAGTAGCACTATGTTAATTTCAATAGACTTGTAATCCAGAGGCCCAGATTAGGCCTCTGAGACATATGGAATTTTAATTCAAGTAATTCATAAATCCACAATAAACACTTCACCTCTTAAATAATCATTGTAAGACTGCTGTCCTTCAGGTAGGAACTTGCTGTCCTTATCTGATCTGGCCTCCATTTAATTCAAGCAACATAGTTGATTCTCTATGACCCTTTGAATTGGCTCAGCAAGCTACTTGGTCATTTCAACCTCCTACAGAAAACACTGGGAGTACCTACATTACATGGACTACCACTTTCTCAAAAGCAGATGGGCATGAGCAATAAATTATGTTCTTGTTGTTCACATTCCGGTGTGATGAGGTGTGCTGTTAAGCGGGATTTGTTCTGAAAGCAAGTGTTATCTGCTCTGTGCAAGCAGTGTAACTAGTTTTGGGGTTTTTTTTTCAAAGTAGACAAATGAAACATGAGTGGGTGGGGTCAGCTGTCTCAGCCTCAGGGTTTGCAGGTTTTGCTTTCAGTTGGTGAAGTTAGCTTTTTGGAAGAAGTCACAGCTCTTTCTCTGCAAAAGCTAATGTTCATTCCTTACTGCTGGGTTCGTGTTTTTGAATTTTCCTTTCTATTTGCTTTTGCCAATGGTGTTTATGGGAGGCTGCTTTACTGGAATAGCTAATCAGTCATAGTCAATATATATTATTTTACTAAGCATTTCAATAGAGTTACAGTTAAGCCAATTTTTTTTAAAAAAGTTTTATTTTGTCTGTATTTTAACTGTAGTGTGAAAATAAAGAGTGTTTTGCATACAGCCTCATAGTTTGACCAACCGAATTGCATCTGGAATGCCATGCCTTACACTTGCCTCTAAATAAGAAAAGTTAGGGTCTAGGCTGTCTCCTTGATGTATTTTGAGGGGTTTTGGTCTGGTCCATAATACCAAGAACAAATGTTTAAAAAATGTCTTTGAAATAAAGGTAAAACCATGTGACTAGTTAATTGTGATGGAGAATGCAAGAACGTGTCAGAAAATTTCAATTTAAATCGTGCTGAAAGGAGAGACACATTGCTAACACTTTATGGTTTGCACTCATCTGGACAAATGCAAGAATGCCTATTGCAAATCATAACAACAATTTATACAACAGGAAAAAAGCATGTTGGTTAGTTGGTAAGTTGACTTCGATTGGCTGAGGCATTGCCATAGAGAAAACAATGGAACTATAGGCTGCCATGCTAACAGGTAACTCAAAACTAATGCAAGACTTGAACATATTGGTTTTGATTCAGGGAACATGGCCCATTCATGAGATTTCTAGGATCATATATAAGCACATATGAGCTTGACTGATTATTTTGAGGTGGGCATCAGAGGAGCTACAGGTGCACTCAGGATTATTTAGCAAGTCCTCCTTAATTGTGAAAGTACATTTAAGAGTAGACATTTGTGTTTTGTAAGTCTGGGTTCATTGAGTACCATTTGTACTCTGCCTATTACAAACAGTTGGAGGACCATGTGTTTAAATAAATCAGCCAAATCATTGGGAAAGTATAATCTACATACCTAGCATTGCACCAGCACAGAAATTTATCTGTGATATTGCTCAGTGCTATGTAGTTAGTGAATTGGTTGGTAAGTGAGGGATCACGATTACAACATCTGCAGCCTGGAGATAAGAGTATAGTAGAATTTTAAAAGATGCATGAAACAGAAATATGCCATTATCCTGGATGATTTCAGTGATGTTGATTGTAATAACCTCACTACCAGCACAATGAATCACAGCACCATCTTCTCCTGGGAGGTCATGATATGCAGGCACACCTATGCCTGGTAGCTCTATGACAATTTCTCCAGTTTCTGCTACAAGAAAGAAGAAGTGTCAGTGGGTCAGCTGCGATATGATTGGGTAATAAGCTTGTCAAATTTGAATACCTGATAGACTGTGGAAGCTGTGAAATTTGGATCTCAAGAAAGTTTCAGGATTTTTAAAAGTGTTAAGAGTTGTGGACCTTCTGAATGTTGGCATTGGCAGATTGCTGATTTTGGGGAGTTTTGTGAAAGGTTTCTCTCTGTGAGCTCTAGTGAGTTATCTCATGCAATTCTCCTCTGCTAACCTTATGCTGTATGCACCAGTTCTACCCTCTCACTATGGTGTGCTTACCAGTGCCAGTAGTAGCATTTGTCAGTGCTGGGGCATTGTGGGATTTGTGCCCTTGGTGCATATTTAAAGTCCACCCTGCACCATGATAGTCACTGTCAACCATGAATAGCCCTTCACAATACACTGTGACAGGGAAAAAAAAATTTTAAGGATACACCAGTTTTATGAGTTATTCTTCAACAGAGATAGAAGCTCACAGTATTAAATATATTGCTTCTTTATCATGGAATCCCTACAGTGTGGAAGCAGGCCATTCGACTCATCAAGTCCACACCGACCTTCCGAAGAGCATCCCACCCAGAGCCAGGCCTTTTTCCTAGCCATGTAATGCTACATTTCCCATGGCTAACCCACCTAGCCTACACGTGCCTGGACACTATGGGCAATTTAGCATGGCCAATCCATCTAATTCCCACATCTTTGGACTGTGGGAGGAAACTGGAGCACCCGGAGGAAACCCATGCAGACACGGGGAGAACATGTAAACTCCACACAGTTGTCCGACAATGGAATTGAACCCAGGTCCCTACCACTGTGAGGCAGCAGTGTTAATCATTAAGCCACTGTGCCAACTTACATCATTTCTTGTCTGATTGAATGTCGTTGTAACTGCAGCTGAAAAAATCAAGCCACGTAGCTTACCCATACCTAGTGCCTTTCCATCTTCGAACCCTGTCTAAGACAGTGCTACCCCTCCCTAATATTCAGCACAACATAATTTTTCAATGTTCAAAGTGGGGGCATCACATTCTGGAAAATTTTCAAACAGTTGAAAATGTAAATTTTTATTGACCGTCAGAAAAAGCAAAGGAAATCAAACAAAAAGAATTGTATTTGCTTCAGAAAACAAAAAGAAGTCATTTGCCTTTGAGCAAAAACAAATTTAGTCAACGGATGATCACTGTACCCAACTCACATCTAATGGAAGCAGATGTCAATTAAGACCAGTTTGAATTATTATGCCAGTTGCTCTTCTGTCATGCAAAAAGTGATGTTCCTGATGTTCAATATTCCCATCTGCCTTCTCAGAAAACTGCTGCCACTCTCCCAGCTCTTCAGCACCCCCATTTTGATTGCTCTAGTTGTGCAGGACTCAAAGTGCAAGGATAATGCAGTACACCCTACTTCCAGCTCCTCCTGACTGATCCACACATCAGAGCCTCACCTTTAGGAGACTGATTGTCTGTTCCACGATGGCCTTTGTGGAACAATGGGCTGCTGAGTCAGGGGCTGAGTAATGGAGTCATCAGCTCTAGTTGGAGGGGGTAGTCTTTGTTCCCCCATCATTCCTTACAAAGCATTGGTCCTTGAAATGAAGCAGCAACAGGAGTTATCAAAGATATAGTATCATGTCAGCTCCCAGGGTATCTGGCACAGACCTCTAGGCTCTGATACCAATGATCACAGATGACTTATACACTGGAGTCGTAATGTTACCCCTGCTTTCTTTGCCATGTATGTGTGCGCGCGTGTGTGTGTCTGTGTGTGAGTGAGTGTGTGTGAGAGAGAGTGTGCGCGTGTGCGCGCGCGCATGCAGCATCAATGAGGACTCATTATGAAGGGCTGAAATCTCTCAGCCCCTGAATGACATGGGCAATGGTGAGTCTGTTGGGAATAAGAAAATGAGATTCTTGATGTCAAGAGAGAGATTCCTATTTTCTACCTAACGTTTGAATAGCTCAACGAGATTCTCACTAGTGAGTGGTGAGAAGTGACTTGTACATTGATGGAATGGGACCCTGTCTGTCAGCTGCATTATAATATGGCTCTCACAACATAGTGTGCCATATAATTTACATCCACCACCATTTTGTCAATATCAGCCTTCTAAAATAAGACAGATTCTGACCCATGATCATGACACTATTTGGCTAAAGCCCGTGCAGTTTGTTTGCTGCATCAGCTGCTGGCACATGCTGAAGCTGTGAGATTAATATCACACACTGCCATACAGCAATATGTCCACCCCCATGACTGATATTCATGACGGTCTATCTCCCTTGTGACTGCACTAAAAGGCAAGGCAATGCAAGACAGAAGTACTGGGAGCCTGTAAGTTCAAAATGAAGTGGAAAAGTACAAAAAGGCAGCAGAGCTTCTGTGAGCATCCAAGTAGATGAGAAGTGACTAAATACTAAGAAAGCACATGAACAGCCCTTAGGTGCTCCCTGCTCCAATACATGGGATATGTGCCTGTCCCTTGGTGCAGAGCAACCTGGCAGTAACATTACAGTGAAAGGTGTCAGTGCACTGCTAAGTGCAGCATTAAAATGGGGAACTGTATTATGAATGAGTCAAGAGATGTGCCATCATGGTGAGGTTGGTGTATGTCCAATGCCAATCTCCATGGATGGCGTCTGCAGTTAATGGAGCATTGCTTGAGATGTTGAGGGCTATATGGAGGCCTAGGGGAGGTACAGCCATCAAGTAATCATTCTGATTTTCATGCCAGGAATTATTGTTGTATAGTTTCTCTCCACCCTCCACAAACTCAGATAAATGAGGCAAGAAGAGATTATAATGAGATGTTAGTTCCTGCAAATAGACCTCTTGCCATTCACTAGTGAGAGTTTCACTGCGCTATTCAAAACTTAGGTAGAAAATAGGACTCTGGCTCTTGACATCAAGAATCTCATTTTTCTATTACCAACAGACTCACCATTGCCCATGTCATTCAGGGGCTGGGAGAAATCAGCCCTTCGCAATGAGTCCTCAAAGATGCTGCATGCACACACACACTCGCGCTCTCTCTCAAAAACAGACACACACACACGGCAGAGCAAGCAGACGTAATGTTTCGGCTCCAGTGACCCTTCTTAAGAACTGACTGTACCTAGGAAAAGGTTAGTATATATACTGACGATGAGGAGGGTGGAGGAGTAAACGATAAGTGGGTATGGAACCCAGAGAGACAGAAACACAGTTGAGCACACACAGGATAAAGGTCAGCCTGGGAGAATCAATAGCTGCCAATGGGGACCATTAGTCTTACCCATTCCTCTTTCTGTCCATCAGCTTTTGCACTCCTGCTCGGCACTGAGCTCCCTTCAGTGTGTGCAACAAATAAGCATAATGTTCAGAACATCAGGGAGAGGAATAGGTAGCATAATGTTTGTGCACTGCCTACCTCACCTCAACTGGACCAGGAGTAATCACACATCACAATCCTGTAACCACTAACTGATCTTATTCAATTTTAGCTCTTTGAATTTTATGGATTTTTTGTGCTAATATTTGTCATGAATAAAGTTTCCCTATTGCTGTTCACATGATTTAAAATTATTCTTGTGCTAATACATATCATCTAATTTCTGTCCAAATTGAATTAGATTGATGTTTTTTTGCTGTAATTAGTAATGGTGGGTTTTCATTATTCTTGTGTAGATCGGCCTGGCCTTACCAGCATAGATAAAGTGGAAAAAATCCAGGAGTCCTTTCTCCTTGCATTTGAACACTACATTAATTATCGCAAGCACAATGTGGCTCACTTTTGGCCAAAACTACTGATGAAGGTGACAGACCTGCGAATGATTGGAGCCTGCCACGCAAGCCGCTTTCTTCATATGAAGGTGGAATGTCCAACAGAACTTTTTCCACCATTATTCCTGGAAGTTTTTGAAGATTAGGAGTCTGACTTTAAATGGATGCACTACCCTAATATCTGTGAACTGCATTAGCACTACTGAGCAGTGTTTCATGGGATTTCACAGAGTACCTTTTCCAGATATGGTGAGAAACATTCCATTAATGCGGGTACGAGTGATTTTGTGAACGTAGCTTTTTGTACACATTTCTGCTTATCTTGTGGACTAATGTTGTTCATTTCATTTTCAAACAAGATAATACGGTAGAATATTGCTTTGTGGTAAGGAACTCCAAACTCCAGGTGTCATATGAATTTTCTTTTGCATAGATCTTTAATAGATTTAGTATGACAAAATATGCTGCAGCTACAGCTGCAAGCTGGCTACCATTGTATAAGGCTGATTCAATAAGGAAACTGCAGAGCTACACCATGTTCTGGAACCAAAATGCAGGCATGAACACAATAACAGAGAGTTCCTCCCTCTCCCCTCACCAAGATCTGAGTTGTGGTTTGACCATTATTCATTGATCATTTAAGTACCCAGGACTGTGAAGACTGGGTAAAATTGATGCAGTCGGAGTGTACAGTGTTGATACAATGAACATAAATAAATGACAGTTCATCAGCATTTCACTACAGTACAGGAAAAAAAAGAGGATGGAATAACACAATAAGTTGCTATTTATACTCCAGCCTTCTCCTTCAAGCTGCCAATTTCAAAATGTAAGTGGATATAAAATATAAACTTTGTGCAACAAACCACAATCCCAATCAGACTCTTTAAAGTGTCAGCCAGAGATTTCAAATAGAAAAGGTCAGTTTTGCTCTTAGAGTCATTCTCCTCAGATTGGAATTGAGGCTTGTGAGCAAAGACTATTCAGAGCTCCGTCCTGGCTTTGGCTGTGCTGCACCTGATATTCAGGTGTTTGACACTGACATTGAGAACCAGCTTTCTTTGATCAAAAGAAGTGGTAATTGTGACATGGCCTAGCCTTCTATATTACACTGACATCAAATCTGGAGCTGAGAGGAGAAGGAGTAACTTTCTGACTGCCGACAGTTTATAAAATCATTGTTAGTACCTACACACACAGATTTAAGCTGTTGTTCTGGAACTCGTCATTAGGATCATGCTCGATCTTACTACACATCAACTTATCAACTCCAGGAAAAAATAGACACTCAAAAATAATTCTTTTATTTAGATCTTTACATTTGCTCATTACCGTATGTTATTTCCCACAGCTTAATAGAGCTCATATTTACTTGGTGCTAATCCATTTGCAGGTAGAGCTTTAATGCCAGCTGCAAAATGGTGCTATAATGACTGAAGCTTTATTTCTTCGAACTGTGGGAATAAATATTAGCATTAACATTTTTTAATATATATGCCTTGATACTGAAATCCTTACAGTGCCATTTGGTTGTATTCATGATTAGCAGTAATGCATCCTTGCAACTATTCTAGGTCCTGGTTAATATTGCTGATGAAAACTGCAGGACTGCAAGCCTTGAAAATGTAGGCTTTTACCTGCAGTCTTCCCTGTATTCTACCAATAGTGGTTTCCTAACGAATGCACACCCTAACCAGTTACCTTGTCATTTTAGATGCACCTCTGTTGACCTGACAGGATTTTGTTGATAGAAAATTAAAGTTCCATGTATAATTGTCTTAGAAGACCAAAGCCAGACCTTTGAAGCAACTGGTTGGTCCTGGCATGACTAAACCAAAGGTTTTTGAGTTTGATTTTGTTTTGGCCGCCTATAGTCACAGTTCTACCTGGAATGCACCACACAGCAAGAAACAGCAGCAAATACACAAATTTACCGACAGGCAAGGAGATAAAGGTGGGGATGCAGGGGTGTTAGGTGGCGGAGGGAAAGATGGGACAAAATGTTTTGGGACAGAAAGAATGCATTCAACCAGAGGAGTAAGGTAGGTGATTACATTATTATTTTTGAGGAAGAATTTATTGCATAATTTTAAATAAATTGGTCTTCTAAACTGGGTTTAGTTGGTAAATTACATATACTTTGGCATTCTTTGTATTAATTCTGAATGCTTTGTAAAGTAACAGGTGAGTTATCCAAATGCCCACTAGTCACTACTTAGCTGAGCACACAGGTTAAGAATATTGAATGCACAGACAATCAGGATAAAAATAACTGCGTAGAAAGCCAGAATTCTATTTTTGATAAATGAGGCACATTAATTATTAACAGAATGATATGCCTAAGGAAAGAAAGCCACTTTTGTTAAAAGAAATCATACCAGGTATATCATGTTTGCACAGTATTGAATAAATTTATGATATTCCTTGGTATTGGAATAAAAGAACGACTACTTTAAAGAAACAAAGAAAACTACACATTTTCGATCCTGTTTTGACAAGTATTTAAGTGCTGTGAAACTATGACAGTTTGTTTTTTTTTCTCATTAGCTATAAAGTCCTTTGTGAAAGGAAGACAACACTGGCTAAGAGGTAGCAAGTAAGCCTAAAGTTGTACTGTAGGAAATATAATTGGTTTGAACTCTGGCATCAGCAACTATTAGAATGTTTTGAATATTCCATAAATTAAATTTCAGTTTGCTGTTTATATACAAACTGGTACATTTCCGAATGTATTCCTGTTAGGGTCTGTGTTACATAAAGCTGAAGTATTCGTATGGGACAAGAATGTTTTGATGAAGATATCTCTGCTTTAACTGCCTTTGAATTTAATGTCTGTTTTGTTGATCAGCTTGCTTTCCTGCCATATCAACGCCACAAAGTTATGTGGTTTTAAAATAGCCTGTCTGGTCATTCTGAACTTTTGCTCTTTAAAGTGTGTTTCTTTCTGGTGCTTCATGTGAAAATTGTGTTGTGAGATTCTTAAGTGATGCCAGTGGCAACTAATATTGAATGTCCTTTGTAATGGAGAGAATGAGAAGTCGATACAAAACACTAAACAAAATATTAATGTTTCATTACTCTAGAACATCTCTATCAGAAATACAACCCAAAATTTTCTGGAATCCTATCTGATAGGTTTAGGCTATCTAGAGTGCATCATCTCCCCACCACAGTTTCCACCCAAGAAAATCTTGTTTTTTTTTTAAGCTCTCTTTACTTAAAATCAATAATTCTTTGAACATGAGGAAAAAAGGCTTCAATGTGAGTTATAAACAAGATTGTTCTGGAACAACGGATGGAGAACTGAGTAAATTGTAGTACACTGTATTCTCTGTTCAGTTACATATGATTTGATTAATCTACTCGTGGAGGACTTTGGAATATGCAGTCTATTTCACTCAAGAATGAGCCTCTCATCCTTTGATTTTCTTAAGGATTATATCCAGTGCTTATTCTAAATAAATTCCATATCCCATTGTCTTCAGCCATATCATTACAGATTCAAAAGCAGTGAATGAACCAAAATGCTCAGGATTTTCACTTCTAAGTTTTTGGCAATGTATAAGTTGACAGTACGTAAACATGTTGCATTTCAGTTCATGGGATAGTAAAAGGAAGTTTGATCTTACCCAGAAGCTTTAGGTAAATGATGTCAATCTGATAATTGAAGACATTTCCCTAAAGCAAATGGGAAGACATTTTCTTCTAAAATTAGTCAAGAAAGTGCTAAGAAATAGTGGTGCTGCTGTTTATTTTGTTCAACACAATTTTTGTGTGATATAGAACTTTAATTCTTGGGGACTAATGGTACAGAGTAATGCAATGACATGTAAATCTTTACAGAAGTCTGTACTGGATCACCAATAGATTTAGGCTAAAGTAAAAGAAAGAACTTGCATTTATATAGCACCTTTTGAACCTCAGGATCTCCCAAAGCACTTTATAAGTCAAACATTGTATATTTGTTCTCTCCTCTTTGGGTATTAGTCATTGGTGGATGAATAATAATTATTTGCAAAAGCTTTGAATAAAAGTCATTAATGTACAATATGTCATTTTCTTCAATTTGGTGGAATAAGATTCCAATGTAGTACAGGACTTCATGAGTAACATGGCAGGGAGGCATATTGCTAAAAGAATAACCCGATATGCTAAGAGCACTGTGGACTGTAGTTGGACGATTCTAAAGCTTAACTTCAGCGTCCTGTTGTCCTGAATTCACAGTTTTGGTTGATAACTTCCAACCACTAATCATCAAACAATCCAACTTCAAATCTGTCTTACAACATTTGTCACTTATTTTCTGTTTATTTATATGCTGTATTATTTTCAGTTTGAATTATTTTGTTCTTTTTAGATTTCATTTTAACATATTCAGCAAATCATAAAACTGGCGCATAAGAACATATCAATTCTAAAGAAATAACTTTTATTTCATTTTTCTAATCAAATAAACGTCTTTTAAGTTCACCAATGCATTTACAGTAAGTCAAAAATTTACTGTAAATTATGCTTTGACCTTCCAACATTCTGGTTACAGAATGTTGCCGTATTGTAAAGATGCTCTATTTGACAGGTAGTGCTAAACGTTGTATGTAATTTTGCCTCTGAAGTTTGTTCATTCGCAACAGGGATTTCAGCTTAAAATAAGAGGGGTAAGGAGTGGAGATTGGGGATTTTATTTTGGGCCATGTTTGTCCACTCCAGAACCCTCCTCCCTTCTCAACTCACTGCCTATCCTGCCTGCTAATTTGGCTTCTGGTGAATTCCGAATGCAGAGGGAGCCTGATGTGAACATGGTGGTCAGACCTCACAGCTGTTTTATGGTTCTGATACCCAATTCTGCAAAAGTGGGTGGAGCAGCCACTGTGCCAGTCCCACATGTCTTTTTTCAGATGTACCATGTCCTAGCCAAAATTCTTTCAAGAATATGCCAGAGGCTGCCAAAAACAGGTAACCGTTTTACCTTTGACTTCCCTTACTGTGGAGCCAGGAGACGCAGGAGTGTGATTGCAGCTCCCCTGTAATATGGAAATGTAGCATTTGGTCTAACTTGGAGACTGTAACCCTTCCGGGCTTAAATCAGGCAAGAAACTGACGCAAATTAAATTTCTGCCCTGAGCTATTTATATCTTGTAGGAGAAAGGGGAAAAATACGGCTTTTGAACTTCCACTGATGGCTTTCATTAGCTGGTCATGGAACAGTCTGCTGTCTAGTCTGGCTTAAAATAAACACATGATAGCCAATAGCATGCAAGGAGAACATCGAGATCAACAGTAACTTTAAAATGTAGTTCAAGTTTTAATTTAATCAAATCAGATTTTGAAATCTCAGTTGTAGAGGACAACTATTAAAACAGTACGCAATTTATTTTATATGGAGCCTATTTATAATACACTATGCTTGCCCGTGCATGACTGAATTCTAAAATCATATGTATAAAATTAATATTGGCTGTACAGAGAATGAATATTGTAAGTACACAGATGAACAAATATCCTGATATTACCTTCTTTCTGTTAAGTAATCTAGATTGTTTCCTTACTGTATTGCTATGCCAGTTCATTGGGAATTGTGCTGGATTCAATTTCCAATTAGTCTTAAACAAAATCCAGTCTGAAAGGCTAATTAATATTTTGATCATACAAGAGAGCTTGGCGTTATAACAGATGAAATGCAGATGAAAATCATTTTAGCCTTGATAAAGTCTATTAACAGCAGGCACTTTTATTTAGTAAAATAGTTGTACTTTACTGTAGCTAATTCATTTCTGTTTTAATCATTGATTTTTCCATCCTTGGCTATAACTTTCTGGGGCACAAGGATTTATTTTTTGCCTTTGGTACCATGCTCAAGCGGCCATGTGAGATTTGACAATGAATGTCAAGGGGAAGATTCCCTTCTGAATGCTGAGAGGGAGAGGTAGATGTATTTGATAATGGCAACACGCTGAAGGTGGCAGAAATCCTGGGGGGGGCTGATTCAATAAATATGGAAATAGGTGGTGTGATGTCACAATCCTGCACAGCAGCCCTATCATCTCTTGCAGAGAACCCTTTGCAATATCTTGATCCAATCTTCAGTCACCCTGTTCTCTTCCAACTGTATCTTGCCATGAACACACAGGAAATGCCACACCACTCCTTTTACAAACTTATTTCCCACCATCCAAGGCCCTAGATGCTCCTTTCAAGTGAAACAGTGATTCACTTATAATTCTTGAATTTAGTACCCTGTGCTTCTTGTGCACTGTGCAGTCTCTTCTACAACAGGGAACCCATTAGGCAGGTTTTCCAGTCACTTTGTAGATCACCTCCATTCAGACCACAAGCATGACCCTATGCTTTTGGTCACCTATCTTTTTAAGAATGTATCTCACTCTCACCTTACTGCCCTTGACTTTCTACACTGTTCTATTGAAGCTCAGTACAGGCTTGAGGGCCAGCACCTCATCTTTCCGTTAGGCACTTTATACTCATCCAGATTGGACATTAAGTTCAAAATTTCAGATCATAACCTGTGTCTGTTATCTTTTTCTTTCCTTTGGATTTCTTTTGTTTTTGGACAGAAAATAATATTGATGATTCTGCTTTTTGCATTCACACCTTCTCTAAATCCATGTTTTAATTCTTCACTTGGTCCATTACCATCTCCCTTTATCTTGCACCAATACTCCATTTAATGTTTCCTGCTTCAACCCAATCACAGGCTTTCCCTTTTGTTTTTGTCCACGTTCCACCTTTCGTTGCCTCTGGACTTGCCTGCAACTTGTTACATCTCTTTTTTCCTCCCTGTTCCAATGCAAGGTATTAACCTGAAGCGTTAACTCTGTTTCACTCTTCACAGATACTGCCAGACCTACTTAGTATTTCCAGCATTTTCTGCCTTTCTTAATTTCAGATTTCCAGAATCTGCAGTATTTTGCTTAAGGACTGTTAAAACACGTCCATTCTAATCAAATTCAATGCTGACATTCCCACATTTGCATTTCCAGCAATATTTCTAAGGAGTCTTTGTTGATTTTGATCCTATTTCTGCTGCTTAACCCCATAGATACTAAAACCAGTTGTAGTATCCCTATCAGTTCACCAAAGGAATTCAACTGACTCAGTACGAGGTCGTCTATTTTTCACAGTCCAGGTGAAGATTTCTTTTTAATAAAAGTTAATCACCCTTGGTCTGCATTATTAAAACTTTTGAAATATTATGATGTGCAGGTGAGTTCTATGCAGTTATCCCATAATAAGTGCTTGCAGTCGCGCAAAGTTGATACTGCCCCTTCATGAAAATAGATTGAACACTGCGAGATGGTAGAGTTAAAGATCGATAATGGAGGTGGTGCCATGTCATAGCCGGGCCACAAGCAGGACCCTATGCTTTTGGTCATCTGTCATTTTAAGAATTTTAAAACCCAGCAAAATAAGCTTCCTTTGATCCTTTGTTCAAAGGTTTGAAAAATGTTTAATGGTTTGTATATGTAACGCAGTAACAGATGAAAATTCAATCGTTTTTAACTAATAATACTTGAGATTGTGATCTTTTTCTTCATATCTTATCACCCTAAGTGTTAACTCATTCATTTAGTTCCACTGGAACTGATGAATTCATGTCATTAGGATTTAATTTTCAATTAGCTGAGCGTCTGGTGTATAGAAATCTGATCTGCGCTCAAGTTGCCATAATGAATAGAAATCTTGAATAAATAAAGCTACTAACATTTGCTGATATTCAGGAAAAGATGTTAGAATCTTCATAAAGGAGTTCCTATTTACTTCTTTAAACCTCTGGAATCAAAATAACTTCTGACTGTGTTTAGAAAATTTCCAGTATAACTGGTGCAATTGTGTTTTCTGTTGTTTTGCTATTAAATGGCACATTACTGCTTATGGCTGGTAATTATTATGTAAATGCTGATGACAAGGTATTTTCCTAATAAAATGTAAGATGAAATGCCAAACCCAAAAATGATGTAAATGACCAAGCTAGGCTGAAGGTTGCTGATCAGCTCTTTGTTAATTAAATAAATTTATATTGCACACTGTGAAGAAAGGTATATATGATGCAGTTACTTGCTGTCAAATAATGTTTGGATAGTTGCTGTTGACAATCACATTGTATGCATTGTGTAATGTGTGTCAAATACATTTCAGCAATGTTGCAGAACAATATTTTATGTAATTGTGAATGCTGTATTTTAGTATAAATATTTTATGTAATAAAACAAACCTAAAAGGAAAAAAGTCTGTAAAATAATTTAGTGAGATGAACATATTGTAGTTTTACATAAAATCATTTAAATTTAATTTCCAACATATTTTATAATGCATTTAAGTACTTCTATAAGAGATTGATAATTTTTTTGGTGGTGAACAATACCAAGAGATATGGAGCAAAAATGAGAGAATGCAGTTAAATAGCTATAAATCATCATCTAACCGAATAGCAGAACAAGTTTAAGAAGCTAAACAGCCTTTTTATGTTACGCTATGTTCGGTTGTTCAGCATTGGATAAAATTTACCAATCATGTACTAAGCCTGATTTAATTTCAATACACAACCCCAATAGAGGCGATAATCAAAGAAAAAGACTCAGAAAAGGGTATATCTTCTCTATGGCAGAATCATCCTGACTGCCTGTTCGTTCATCTTTCATTGATTGACTGAGACCTGAGGAAGCAGTATTTGCCTATCTTTTCAATTTTGAAATGGTACTTGTCATCAGGAGCAATGAACTGCTTGTATTGTTATAATAAATTGTTACTTTTGGTGCCTTTTTCTCTCTAGAAATTGAAGCAAAGAGATTTTTTTTCCCTCCTGTATTACCGATGAAGAACCTTATCCAACAGCAGTACATGTTTTGAGATCTGAGTGCACTGCCCACCAGTTTCTGACCATAGTCTTGCCGTGCTATGTTCTACTGACAGGCAGGTAAGTAGCTCAGTTGTTTCTTCAGTTCCATTCTGAAACAAGATGCTAAAAATGTACAAAAGTATCTGTGTGCACTTGGCACACCATTTACCATACCTGACTGATATAATTCTAAATTTAGGTACATACTTACTCGAAAGGCATTGGATAACCATTTTCCTTGCTCCCAGGTCTGCTTCCTGTGTTTTCTTCCTGTCTTTTATGTTTCCATTTTCACAACCTTCCTATCTGCATTTTCCCATCTCCTAGTGTATCTGCTTTAAAAGCTACAAAACATGGTTGGAAATTAGAAACTTTTAGCAATGGCTTATTCTAAAGCAGCATAATAATGATGTTATTATCTCTTTTCCTTCCCCCTCCAATATTTTCTTGAAGGTGTCAGAACTTGACTTGCCTCCACTCTTCATCCACTAGTTTACCAACACATCCATCATTTAGGCACACTGCCTTATTAATGCCACGTAGAATGCAAAAAAAAAATCAACAACTTATTAACCAGCTGACTGTCAGCCAAGTAGCCATTTTTTAAAATCATTTTTAATGTCAGTGTATTGTTGGACAAAGATATATTTTCTCAAGGTTTTTTATACTTGCACTCATCAGGTCAACTTTCAAGAAACACCAATGTAAAGGAAAACAATGTTTTATGTTATGATAAGAGTGCACTAATTGGTTGGTAAGTGGACACTAATTGGTAGAGATATTACCATGGAGAATATAGTTAGTTGACCAGTGGTTACTTGCTGAGCTTTTCCAAAATGTTAAACCAGGCAGTTTGACCTTGGTCAAGGCATTGCCCTGAGAAAAGATCCACAGAATGTTTTGTAACAGGTGCATTTTGTAAATATGCTGTTCCTGTCAGCAAAGAACAAGGTCATGTCACTAATAGATGTCATTTCCAGCCCAGGCAGCTGCGCCACATTGTGAACCCACCTGACAATCCTAATTCTTAGCACAGTCAGAATTTTAACTAATGTTAGACACCATTGAGTTTTGCAATCTGTGACTTACCTGCATCCAAGCAAACCTCTAAACATCAGGCAGTAATCTCTCTCACCCGCCAGCAGCTACGCACAACTAAAATAAAAACAAAATGCTGGATAAACTCAGCACCTATTACACCATCTGTGGAGAGAGAGAGTTAGTTTTGAGTCCCAAGTGATGTCTTCAGAACAAACACTTCACATCAGACTCAAAATGTTAACAGTTTCTCTCTCCACAGATCAGCCAGTCCTGCCATATTTCCCCCAGAATTTTCTGTTTTTATTTCAGACTTCCAGCATTTGCAGGATTTTGCTCCTCTTGAGCTTTCTATATCTGTGTCTGTTTGATGCAGGAATCTGGCTCACCACATGTAGATGATATACAGAAATTAAAATAGCCTGGGTCCCAAACACAAGAACATATTTCACACTTGCATCTCTATTCTCACTCCAAACCCCACATCTCGCATTCTTTCACCATCCTAAGCATGCCCTGATTTGAAATGAAATCAAGGATCTTAGGTTCAAGTCAGCAGTTCGTAGACACGATTGGGTCAGTGCTCAAATAAAAAGGGGGTAACAATACCAGCCAAAGTCTTTGTTCCTGACAATTGAAAAATCATCATGGAAAGATTCACACTCTACTGAAGATACAATGGTGCAAAACTTGGAGTAAATCTTGGGGTCAACATTCTTGGAAATACCTCCCTAGCAGCACTCGGTATACCTCCATCCTAAGGGCTCCAGTTGTTCAAGAAGGCAGCTCACCCCCACATAATCAAGGACAATTACAGATGAGGAAGAAAGTGCTGGCCTAGTCAGCAACACCCACTTCCCATGGATGAATTAAAAAAATGTTTTATACACCATTGCACAATGGAAATTTAAGAGTCATACAGCTAAAAGTAGGCCCTTCAGCCCACCATGTCTATGCCAACCAACAAATACACTAACCCCATTTTCCTTTATTTGGCCCATAGCCCCCACAATGCCCTGGCATTTTAAGTGCTCATCCATGTGCTTCTTAAATGTTGTGAGAGTACCTGCATGTGTGAAAAAGAATTTTCTCAGATTTCCTCTTAAGCCTTAGACCTCACCTCAAACTTGTGCCCTCTGGTCTTAGACATGTCTGCCATGGGGAAGAGATTCTCGTGGTCTACTGTGTCTATGCATTTCATAATTTTGTATACCTCAATCAGATCCTCCTTTAGCCTTGTCCTCCCAGGAAAACAAACCCGGCCTATCCTTACATCTGAGACATTTCGTCCTAGGCAACATCCTACTGAATCTCCTCTGTACCATCTCCAGTGCAATCACGTCCTTGCGATTGTGTGGCGACCAGAACTGCACAGAACTCCATCTGTGGACTAATCAATGTTTTATAAAAACTTGGATTATCCATTACACAGACAAGAACAACAAAAGGGGCAGTGCATCGGAAACCATTACTTTACTGCATTGATCCACATCCAAAAATAATACAAATTAAAAAGCACATTTTACAGTAGTCAATCCAGGAGGACAATACCAAACTTTAAAATGTTACTTGAATAATAATAACGATTTCATTATATGTAGATTAACAATCCATCAATCAGTGGATACTGCAAACACAGCTAATAAAGACAAGACTTATAGACATGCTGGTTGCAATATGTTACTCAACTGCTTCAAATTTGGTGATTTGAAGAAAAAAGGATCAGGAAGAAAAAAGGATCAGGAAGAGAACTGGGCGCTAATCACAGACTCCACAAGTTACTGTCAGGCTGTTACAAAACTGTTTTTCTTAACTGGGAAAGAATTAGTTATGGATACAATCCAGCTTTATTAAGTTATGCTCTATTGTCCATCCCACTAATAATGAGACAGCAATACAGAATGGGGACTTGCAACATTAAAGCACTATTCTTTATAAATCCATAAGATTTTAATTTTAATGTGAAGCCATAATTATCCAAGTCATCTTTAAGGATGAAATATAAACAGAGAGTCCTATTTATACATATTCGATAGTCTCAAGTTACATACAAGTTAAAATCTCAAAATATATTTTAATTAATATCTTCTGTATACTTGTAATTTTCAATATTTGATTAATTACTCCCTTTGTAGCTCAAAAATAATGCTGGAGAAAAACGCACTATATATAAATATGCATACTCATTCACAAAATATACAGAATAGAAACAAAGGGTGGAGAACTAATTCATAAGTTTAAGGATATATTTTAAAGGCCAACAATTCTTCTGAATGCATATTGTTAAGAGAACGCAGGTCAGGTAATTTCAGTAGGAGCTTTGTAAAGATGGAGGATTCATTTGGATGATTTTTCATAATTAAGGTTCTGAGCGCTCGAATTAGAGTTTCTTGCAATTGCTCCACTGAGTTAACATTTTCTATTCCTGAACGATCTAGTAGAAAAAAGAATGATTCAAAGTCAAATAAAATCAACATGCACATTAGAGCTATTTTTGCAAGGAAAGTAAATTCAGCTACATTTTATTTTTGATGACTAAAATGTATGCAAAGCATGTCTTACTACAATGCAGAACATATAGGATGAGAAATTAGGCACATTACTGTCTGAATTTTGGGCATAACAAGTGCCTTAAGAGGTCTTAAATAGCAACTGTGGCTTGAATTGCACAAGATATCATATAGGTATATCGGTAGGCACTCCTTGGAAATAAAGTACAAGTTGGCAGATGAACAAAAGCTAGTCAGATAAGACAAGGTTTGCAGCAGGAGCCACGTTGCCCAGAATATTCAGGGATTTCTCCTATTTACCCTATGAGAAATAACGTAAGAGAAATTTGTACTGTGTAGCAATGAAACCTTATTTAACAGTATTACAGCAGTAACAAGCTTTCCACAGGCATTTTTATGAGTGCAGTATTTTCAAAAATAAGAAGGCTTGTTCTTAGCAGGAATGTAATCTTCAAATGGAGGTATGCAAGGGAACAATGGCTAACTGACGTTATGAGCACTTATCCCATGGTCAATGGCTAAAGAGGCTAAGACAATTCTTGGCACAGTGTATTACCTGCCCCTAGAAACAGGGTATATCAAGGTGCTCAGGGGCAAAGGGCAGCCCTCGTTCAGGCAATCCTTTCAGGTAGTCCTCATCAGGCAGTCTTCAGAGAGCTGTTTTCTCCAGATGAAAGGTGGACCAGAAGAGGAGGAAGAATTCCATGACACCTTCACTGGAGAGTTGGATACTGCTTTCACAACCTTTTAGACTGACAGATTCCATGTCAACAGCCTGTTTGTCCTCTGGTATCCATGAATCTCTAATTGTCGCATTATATACTATCTTTTAGCAATTTAACTTAGCTTCATATCCAAACTGCTGCTTCTTAACAAACTCAATTAACTATCAGAAAATTGCTACAAATTCCCAACTGTCTATATTCAGTAACTTTGATCATGAGCCCTTCAAAATCAACACATGGCATTCAAATGCTGTTGGCTCTGCAAGATCGTTTAGCCACAATAATTCAGTTGAACTTATTACCATGTATGGCCTGTCTGGACATTGTCAGTAGCAGTGTGAGCTGTTGAAAGACATCCTACCACTAGCTGCTTCAACCTAGGATATCATTAATTGACCTCAGTCATATCCTTCCTCAATGTCCTCTGATCCAAGGAAAACAACGGCATAACTTCATAACTACCTTCATAACTAAAACTCTAAAGCCCAAGCAAGATCCCAGTAAATCTCCTCTGCATCCTTTCCAGTGCTATCACATTCTTCTATAATGTGGATTCCAAAATTGCACACACCACTCTAGCTGTGGCCTAACAAACATTTTATACAGTTACCTCTTCTTAAACTTTTATGTCTCAGCTAATAAAGGTAAGTATCCCATATGCCTTCTTAACCATTTAATCTCCCTTATCCATTACCTTAAGGAACCAGTGGACATGGCACACCAAGGTCCTTCTGATCCTCAGTGTTTCCCAGGGTCCCACCATTCTTCATGTATTCCCTTATTTCTCCTGCCTAAGTGCATTATCTCACACACATCTCCTCACTACTTACCACCCCATAGACTTACTGATCAACTCTCCTCCATTCTAGTCTCAGGTCATATATACACACACACACCACAAATAGCAAAGGCTATGATCACTGTGGGACCCACTGGACAAAGGCTTCCAGTCACAGCCTCAAACATTAATCTGTGCTAACTGCGGCAAAGGTAATTTTGAATCAAATCTGCCAACTTTCCTTAGATCCCATGGGCTCTTACCGTAGCTATCAGTCTCCCATGCAAGACCTTGTCAAAAACACTAGCCCAAGCAGACACTGTCAAATGCATTGCCCTCATCTACACACCCAGTCACCTCTGAAAAACTCATTCAGTTGGCCAGACATAACCTCCCTTAATTGTTCTTGTTCATCCTGCCTCTCCAAGTGCAGATTAATTCTGTCCCTCAGAATTTCTTCCAATAGTTTCCCCAACACTGAGGTGAGACTAACTGGCTTGTAGTCTCTTAGTTTATCTTTTCCTGTCATTTTGAATACCTGTATCACATTGGCTGTCCTCCTGTTCTTTAGCAGCTCTCCCACGGCCAGAGAGGAATTGAAAATTGTTGCCAGTGCACCTGCTATTTCCTCCCTTGTCTCACTTAATAGCCAGGGAAACATTTCATCGAGACCTGGTGGCTCATCTAATTTTAAGCCTGCCAGACAACTTAGAACCTCCTCTCTGTCTATGCTAACTTCTTTAAGTATATCACAGTCTTTCTCTATGATTTCCATACCTACATCATCCCTCTTATTCGTGAACTCCAACACAATGATTTAGGATCCTATCTACCATTGTCAGGCTCCATGCACAAATTACCATTGTCCTTAATGGACCTACTCTTTCCCTAATTATCCTTTTACCCTTAATTTACTTGTAATATAACTTTAGATTTTCCTTTATTTTACCTGATGTTATCTTTCATGTCCCCTTTTTGGTTTCCTAACTTCCTTTTAAAGTTCCCACTTGCAAATTCTATATTCTCCACGGCTTCTGCTGTTTTGAGCCCTCGGTGTCTACCATAAGCCTCCTTTCCTTCATTATCCAATTCTGTATATCCCTCAATAGACGCTTTGCTTGATTTTTTTGGTCCCAACCTTTTTCTTTATTGGTACATGTTAGCCTTCTATTGTCCCTATTTCCTTCATGAATGTGTCCCACTGCTCTGACAGATTTACCTAAAAGTATTTGCTCCCAGTCCAGTTTGGTCAAATCATATCTGATCTTACTAAAATCAGTCTTCCCACAGTTTAGAATTTCGTTTTCAGGCCCCTTATCCTTTTCCAAAACAATTCTGAATCTAACAGATTTATGATTGCTGTCTGCAAAATGCTCTCCCACTGATATTGGAACCACTTGCCCAGCTTCATGATCTAAAATTAAGTCCAGGACCATCCCCTCTTGTAGGACCTTCTTTGTACTGGCTTAAAAAGCTGGCTGCATTTTAAGACTTCCACTCCCTCTAAACCTATCACACTGTGAATACACCAATTAATGCTGGGGAAGTTGAAATCCCCACTATCATGCCCTGTTACTTGTACACTTCGCAGAAATTTGCCTATATGTCTGCTTTCTATTTCTCACTGACTGTGGGTCTACAGTAAACACTCAACAATGTGAGTGCTCCTTTTTGGTTTTTATGTTCTAGCCATATTGTTTCATTTGAAAGAATGTTCTAAGATGTCATCCCTCCTTACTGCTGTAATTGATTCCCTGATCAATACTGTCACATCCTCTTTTACCTCATTCCTGTATTGCCTGAAGACCCCATGTCTTGGAACATTGAGCTGCTAATCCTGCCCCTCTCTCAACCTTGTCTCAGTGACAGCAATGATATCATAGCCTTCAACTCATCTGCCTTGTTCGTAAAACTCCTTGCATTAAAATAAACAACATCCAACCTTGCGAAATTCCCGTGTGTCTTAACAAGCCTACACTTCCTATAATTTTGACTTGCTTGCTGTGGAACTCGCTCAGCTGAACCTTCTTTCAGGATCCTATAATCTTGTCAAGATAGTTTAAAGCCTTGCCAACAGCACTATACTTATTAGCAAGCGTCACTGGAAGTAATCCAGAGATTACTATCTTTGAGGTCACTACCAATATGTACCACATATCTGTCTGCCCTTCTACTTCAGGATGCCTGCAACCATTGAAGGACATCCTTGATCGTGGCACCAGTGAGGCAGTATACCATCTTGGATTATGAGTGAGTAAGAGAATGAGTGATTGAAAAAAACATGTGCATGTGAGGGAATGATTCTGGGAGCAAGGGCAGGGTGTGTGTGCACATGTGTGTAGGAGAGCATAAGGATATATGAGTGTGCACAAGGACGTTTAGGCTGGTGGGGTTTAATGGGAGTATATGAGCAGGTGGGCTGAAATGAATAGATGGGTGGCGGAACAACAAGAGGACATTTGGAAATCAGTGAAAAGTATACAGCAGTGAGTGTGGGAGTCTGCACAACGTGTGTTTGTGCATGTGGGAGTGAATGGGGCATGTATGTGATAGTGAAGGAGCAAGGAATGTGGGTAGTTAGCATGCTTTTGTGACGGGGAAATTTTGTTTAAACAATTTATTAGAATTCTTTGAAGGAATCACATGAGCTGTGGATAAAGGCGAGTTTATTGATGCACTGTGCTTGGATTTCTAGAGGCATTTGACAAGGACTCACAAAAGGCTATACTGCAAATAGAAGCTCATAGTACAGGTAGTAACTAGCAAGGATAGGAGATTGGCTAGCTGGCAGAAAATAGTTTGCATAATTGAATCATTTTGATAAGTTAGGTCCACCAGAGGTCTGGTTAGGAGCCACAACTTTTTACAATTGATACCAATGACTTAGATGAGGAGATCAAAGGCATGCTGGCTAAATTTGCAGATGACACAAAGCTAAGTAGAAAAGTATGCTGAAAATGTGAAGTTGTGTACTCTGATAGGAAGATAGAAGAAGCAAATTACTTAAATGGAGAACAACTATAGAATTCTGAGATACAGACATATCTAGGTGTTCTAGTAAAAGAGTCACAAAAGGTTCATATGTAGGTACACAGTAATCAGGAAGGCTAACAGGATGCTAGCCTTTATTATGGGAGAAACTTAACATAAAAGTAAGGATTTTATGCTTCAACGATGCAGGTGATTGGGGAAGCCGTGTACAGTTTTGATCTTTTTATTTACATAGAAGTAGAGCATTTGGCCGTTTCGGCCTGCTCTGCCATTCATTAAGGAAGGATGAAAATGCATTAGAGATGGATCAGAGGAACTTTACTAGACTGATACCTGGAACAAGCAGGATATCTTATGTGGAAAGACTAGAGTTCATAAGAGCGTGCATTGATTTGATTGAAGTTTTTAAGGTCTGAAACGATCCTGCCAAGGTGCATGTGGAAAAGTTGTTTCAGCTTGAGGATGAATCCAAAATTAGGGGAAATGCTTTAAAATTGGGGGTCAACATTTTAGGGCAGAGAAGAGAGGAATTTTTTTTCCTCTGAGGATTGTGTTGACTTTGCAACTCAGAATGTGATGGACATGGGGTCACTGAATATTTTTAAGGGGGGAGGGGGTAGATTGCTTCCGTTGCCTAACAAGCAGCTATGGTGATTGGGGATAGATGGCAAAGTGGAATTTTGAACACAAGCAGATCGGCCATTAACTTTTTGAATGGTGAATCAGGCTTGAAGGGCCTACTTCTGCTAATAATTCACATGTTTGTAAGGTGGTGCTAGAGTAAGCAAGAGGTGCATAAGTACACCATTTAAGAGGTTGTAAATCAGAAATATGGGATGAGAGGGAAATGAGATGAAGAAGGATTATATATGATACTACCATTATCCTCAATGTTTCAACCCACTGTTGGTCAGATTTATTTCAATTTGCAAAGTCTGCTGCAGTCACAATGTACCTCCCAGTTAAGAGACATAGGCTAGGTTTTAAAGTGGCACTAGCTATTCACTATATTGACCCCTGCTGACATATTCAGTCAATGAAAAGTTAGTACGTCATTCTAATGAGCAGGTAGTGTGAAGCTGGTGTGCTGCCTGTGTTTTAAGCATGGGTTGTCACATTATGGGCCCCACAGCTGTTTTTAGAGGCTTCCCAATTCAGGTCAGAGAAATGATAGCAGAAATAACTTTCTGAGGGCTATTAAGAAGATACTTAATAGATTTTCTTGACCTGTTTTACTTTTCAAATTATTTATAACTCACAACAGGAAAAATAAATTGTTTTCTACAGTACTGTCATAAAAGTGGCATTTATGTATAATTTGTGTGAACAAACATAATTATAGCAGCTATTCTTACCAGCAGAAACCAGGACAACAGCTGTGAACAGGCTCATTTCCTCTTCACTGAGCTGCAGGGCACCAAGCTTCTCGCTAAATTCAAACATGGAGATCAACAAATCACCTGCCCCCAGTAACTGCAACTCTTCCATGCCATAACTCTTTCCACTAAGAAATGTGACTGTGCGCTCATGTACATCAAATAAAGCAGCAAAGCGTACCATCAATACCTGCCAATGATAGAAACAGGTATTCATTAGCACATCATTCAGAAAGTCACTGGGCATAGAATATCTTAAGTTTTACGTTAAGAAAAATAGTTTCAAAAAGTACAGTTTCGATGTGAAATATTTTCTGAGGTTCAGTTGCAATCCTAATGTTAGCTTTAGTTTCAGCTCAGGAACCAAGTTGTGGCCATGGCATGATGCTGGACACAATCTTCCCAGAGACAGCCAGCTGGAAAGAGGTCCTGTCCAATTAGGGACAGTAACTATGTTCTAATATCAGGATCTGTGGCAAGAGCTTCAAGCTGCACCTGTAACATGGACATTGCTGCTGCTGATACCTCAGCTATGTCAGTGCTGCCAAGGAGTCACCTTAAGTAGGAGTGCAACGATTGCCACAATAAAAGCAATATATTAGTGCAGACATCAGGCTGCAACGATATACTTTCTGCTTGTGAAACCTTGAGCACTGCTATTTAATCCCAGCACACAAAAAGTGGGAATATGTCACAGTGCTGGCCCAATGCCAGTCAATCAGGTTTTCCTGGTCCTCTCCCTCATCTCCACGAGGCGAGGAAAATTCAGCCCACTGTTTCTCCACCCCAAAAAAAATCTTTCAAATAAAAGATTTAAGTATGTATATCACAAGTTAACCAATGAAAACTACTGTTTCACCCAAAGGTTCCTTATAAAACTGATCAAAGTCAGCATCCAATTCTTGTTTCTTTCAAATCAGATTCACTAATGCTTTGAGGGGAAAGTTATTTTATCACCACTGATTTCCAAACATGGAAGGAACCAAATATTTCAGAAGCATCATTCCTGCATTTACTGCTTCACAGCTAGCTTCAGATCCAACATAGTTAGAAAACAGATCTGTCCTTCATTTCCATTCTTAATAACAGTATTTTATTTGCATTTCCCAAAAAAACGTTTTCTGTAACTTACCTGTCTCTTCACTAATGATTATTCTTAAGACCACAAAAAACAGATACAGGAGTGAGCCTTTAGCCCCTTGAGCCTGTTTCGCCATTCAATAGGATCATGGCTGTTCCAACATGCCTCTCGTCCACTTTCCTGCTCTCTCCCCATAATCCTCAATTCCCATCTGGAACAAAATTCTGTTTCAGCCTCAAGTATACACAAGGACTCTATTCTCACAACTCTGTGGTAAGGAGTTCTAAAGACTCATAACGCTCAGAAGAAATCCTTTATCATTTCAGTCTTACATTGGCACCACGACATTCTGAGACTATGCGCCCTGGTCCTGGACTCTCCATGAAGGAAAACATCCTCTCAGTATTAACCCTGTCAAGCCCCTTAAGAATTCTATATACTTAAATGGGATCATCTCTCATTCTTCTAAATTTCAATAAGTACAGCCCCAAACTGTTTAATCTTTGCTCGTAAGGCAATCCCTCCATTTTGGGGATCATCCTAGTGAACCTTCTCTAAACTGTCTCCAATGAAATAATACAGTTCCTTAAATAAGGGGGCTCAAGATATGGTATCACCAGCACCTTGTACACTTAAGTAAGACGTCCCTACACTTAAACTCCAATCCCCTTGAAATAAGGGCCAACATTCCATTAGACTTCCCATCTGCCATAATACACAAGTACCAAGTCCCTTTGTGTTGCAGCTTTCTGCAGTTTTCCCTCCTTTTTTCTCCTTTCCAAAATGAACAACTGCAGGAAATTAGCTACATGCTGCAAATTCATTATCAGCATGTATACATTCAGATTGGAATGGTTCATAACCTACATCACAGCAAAAAAAAACATCGTCCTGAAATTCTGGAACCCTGATCTGTTGTCGGAAGGTGTAGCAGGATGCCCCTTATAATTGGCCATTAGGGTAAATCTTTATTTAGCCCACAAAAGAAGTTACTTATCAGCTGCAAGGATTTTCACTCAGCCCTAATGTCAGCACACAGACACAGAATTCTCAAGGTTGTCAAGAACTTTCCCAGTCACACTGGAAAACAGACTCTGGATGTAGGGATGGGTGGAAGACATGGTCATCTGTCTCCAAGAGGATTTGAATAGTGTTTTCCATGGCGAGGTTTTAGAAAGACCTCCTTTCTTCACTTTGAGTGATCCCACCAAAGTTCCTAGTCCTATGTTCTATGTTCTAACTGTGCAAAATCATAAGTAGAAATTTTAAAGAGATGTGTATTGGTCTTCATACTGTTCATTCCAAACTACACAAATCAAAATGGACAGGATTTGGCTTCTAGTGTAGTGAGCTAACCATCCTCAATGGACTGACAATGAAGCCACCATTGAAAAGCTATTGAAAAGGATGATGTCAGGAAGGTGCTTTGCTCTTGTTCTCACATCATCTTACAATAATCAAATAGCCTAACACACCCTGGTGCACACATGAAGTATATCCACTCACTGACTTCAACAGAATGATGAAAAGATGTGAAACGTGTATGTTGTATTTTATCTTAGTCAAAACATAAAGACTGTTAAATACTGCTGAATTCACACAACTTCTGATTTTCCAGTGCCTAGACAACTGCAAAGCATTTGTAAATTTTTAAAAACCTCGATACGTACCTCAAATGTTCCAGCTTTAAGCAAGCTAACTTGGTCATGTTGTGATAGATCTTTGAATCCTGGAATACGTTTTGCAAATTCTACCACTTCTCTAACTGCAGGTGTAAAGCTCATGGAGAATTCTTCCCAAATTTCCTGTTCTGATTTATCGGGGTTTACATAGGGAGACATACTCATCGGGCACACCTGGCCAAGACAATCACCAAAATTCAGTATGAAAACCAGAAACCAAAGTTTTAACTAACAAAAGTGTATAATGTTTCTATTCAAAAAGAGTAGGAAGAAAATGGTGATCTTAAATTATGAACTGTAAGATTTAGAGTTTGTATCACAAAATATGAATTCAATTTCTTTCTTAATATCAATAGCTGATCTCAATACAGAACTTTCAAATGAATAAACATCCCAATAGGCATCATGTTGAAATGAATGGATGGTCCTTTTCTAAGTATAGATAGTGTATTTACCAGATGCATTCTCCTTTCCGTGGTACAAGAATGATCAAACATGGCACTGCTTTGAGAAAATCCATCTTCTGCAATTGCGTTTTGGGTATATTCATTCGAAACAGTATGATAATGCCTACTTATGAATCTATCTGAGACATCATTTGGGCAAAATACATGGTTATTACTCTTATTTGTGTTAGAGAATTTGTGCTGGTTTGCATTGAGAAAACAGTGGATTCTATTAACGCTATTTGTAGAGTGACCAATTATCCAATTATCATCACTGTTCTTCTGAAGACTCTTTCTGTTCTGGAGCTTCACAGCTTCCAGCATTTTGCCTGGTTTGTCTTGTGTACAGTGGAATGTTTCCTTATGGGCTTTGGTCACTGTACCAATTACATCATCTTCAATGTTTTGAAGTTGTTCATGCTGCAGTTGTGGAGAAGTGATCTCATCTTGTGATGCTTCAGTCTGTGCGTAGCCATTCAACTGATTATTCATCATCTTCTTCATTGCACTTTGCATTTCAATCAACATTCTCTGTTTCTCACGTTTGGGAATGCGTCCAAATCGGACAGCTGTAACAGAATACCCCAAAAATTATCAACATTATAGTGGAACAATCTGAATTGCAAACTTACATTCCAATGTTTTGAAATATGGCCATATCCTATGTATATATTGCTGTATTTATAGTAGTGTAGTAGTGTAAGTATTATTCCTATCTGCAACAGTACTCACCATCTCGGGACATGCCTACAGCCAAACACTTCTTAAAGCGACATTGCTGACACCGGTTCCTATTCATCCTCATTATGGAACAGTTTTCATTTTTCAGGCATTTCTTATATTGGATATTCTGCTGAATGCTCCTTCGGAAAAATCCCTGAAAGGACAAATGAAGGATATTCCAGCTAATCCACATTTTTAAAAGTTGCAAATTTATACCCAGTTGCCTGTAGCCATAGTTGCCAAGCTTTTGGTTTTGGAGATAGTAGGAACTGCAGATGCTGGAGAATCTGAGATAACAAGGTGTAGAGCTGGATGAACACAGCAGGCCAAGCAGCATCAGAGGAGCAGGAAGGCTGACGTTTCGGGCCTAGGCCCTTCTTCTTCTGAACTGGTTCTGAGGAAGGGTCACCAGACCCGAAATGTTAACTCTGTTTTTTTTCTTCACAGATGCTGCTAGACCTGCTGAGCTTTACGTGGAATGTTAGTCAGTTTGAACATTTTTAACACAGATTGCTAATGGTACAAACTCATGTAAAGGAACTTTGAGCTGCTTACTGTTTTTTCGCAGCATGATATTTTGAGAAACATAGAACACTTTTTGGTCAAAGTTTGCATCTCTGAAGTGGCAAACACCATAGAAAATAACAGTACAGTTTTTTCACATCTAGGGCTACAGGCTTATGAATAATAATTTCTCACATACATGATAAAGAAACTCATTTCTCTGCAAAAGTTATTCTACAGCATAATAATTTAACATCTTACAAGGCATCAAACATTCCTAAGGATCTACAAACATATAGTCACAAAAAGTACTAGACTCTAAAGGGTCAAATTAGGGGAAGTGAAGCACATGCTATGAGAAAACCTACCTTACACAAATGCTTTTTGAAAATATCCACTAGAAACTGCATGACAGTGCTCATGAATCTATTCGTGCAAACACTTGACGAAATATGTTAGTCTGCATTGCCAAAAAAATAAATGGATCTATTAATTCAGACTAGTGCTAGAACAGCTGACGACTCCCCCAACATACACACACACACACAGGAAGCAACATTTTCAAATGTTTATATCAGCTCATAAATTCCATTTTAAATGAAAATCCTTTTCTGGAGACAGTCCTGGGAATGAGGTGTTGTGACCCCCAGAAGATAATACCTTTAGAACTTAAGGCAACCCTTAGCTGCCCTACAGTTAGTCAATATACTGTACACTTGGCCTTACTCCAATTGAAATGGTGTACTTACTGAGGGACTTTAACTTAAGCAAACTTCAAGCCTGTGGCCAGTGCATATACTCCACATCCATCCCAACTCCCAAGCTCCTTTACAGAATCATAATAATCCCTCTATCACATACAGTTTTTCCATGAAATTCAACTGACAAGAAAACAGCACTGGGGCCAAAACATCCAAGTGAAGAACGACTGCTGTTCACTGACTAATGAGCAGCAGCTGGATCTGGACCATGTGAATGTTCCAAGACCAGAGATACTGTAGATTAGTGCCAAACTGTGCATCATTGGATTCAGTGATCTTCCTATTGTTTGTTAATCACTTTCCATTGCTTACCCTCTACATTCCACACTGCCTTATCATGTTACTCAACTAAGTTATGCACCAGTTATTTTAAATGCTATATAGCACTACCAAAATTATAGGGATTGATACAACAGAAAAAAAACAATGCAGTATACTAGCAACACAAGACTACAAAATGAGAAACGCTACAGACAACAACCACCATTAGAATTTGACCCCTTTATATTTTTTTAAATCCCAACCTCTTCCCTTGCATATGAGGGAATTATTATGTTAACCAAAAATTAAGCTAATTTTCCTCTATATTTTACATACAGCATTCAGATTTTCTTTATTTCATACAATCAGCGGCCAAAATCTCTCAGCATTGTTTTAGTGCTTGTTAAAGTTATTACAGCTACTGTTATAGAACTAGAAAGCACAGCAATTTCATGCAAATCACGGCAGTCAGTTAACCATAATTATCTGTATAAAACTGAATTTTATATGTCTTAACCTATTAGATAATGAAGTTAGGTTTATTTCCAATTATTAGCATAGACCTCCATAGAAACTAGTAGCCATTTCAGCACATTGATCTCTTAATACTTACCCTGAAGCAAATTTGCTTTTACATCTAATGGTTCTCGTTCATATTTATACCTTTTGCATTTATTGTAATCAGGCGTGATAAACAAACTTGGTTTCCAAGTAAGTGAACTATCCTACAAAACCGCACATAAAATTATCAACAAATTGATATGTCACAACAGCCAGAGTTATCAGATTAGTTATCAGGTCTCTGAGGATACACTAATCCATTAAAAAGGTCAAGAAGCAGTAGAAATTCCTTAAGAGAAAAATGGGAATCCAGTTTTATACATGGTGCATTGATGAAGAATTTGAAGGATATTAGTTAGACCACACGTTTAGTAAGTTAGATATTAAGAGCCATGGAAAAGATACAGCAAAAATTAGCAGACAAGTTTTAATTATTTAGAAAAGCTCAAAACAAAATTAGACTGTCCTTACCAAATTGGAAAAAGTAAAAGGTGACCATGCCGTATTGCAGAATTATCTAACAGAAAATTGTAAAAGATCGCTTCTGCTGATTTGAACATTGATATCAAGAAGGATTTTGATGCAAAATTATATTTGGAATTGAAGGAATTAAGAAAGGTTGAAGATTTTATTTTCAGAAAGAAGAAAACATGGAAATAATTTACCACCAATAGCTGTCAAAACAGAATCTATACCTTTTAAAAAGAGAACTTACTATATTTGAAAAGGACGAATATTAAATAAGGAAGTGGTAAGGAAATAAGATTAAAGTTCCAGTTGAAATGCTGGCACCAGAATAAGCACAAGCCAAATGGG